ACATCATCATAACAATCCAATTCCTGAATTTCTTGGTGAATTTCTTGTGACTCCATTTCTTTCAGAATCAGTGGACCAAATCTCTCATGTTTAGCCTAGGGGGGTCTTATTTTCGGGGGGATGTCTTATATTTCAGTTAAAAGGAAACCTGTAAGTGGGACTTATTTTGGGAGGATGTCTTATTTTCGGGGAAACACAGTATTAATTTACCTGAGATGCATGTATCTTTGTGACATGGCTCAGATGACTCAGGGAGCATTTCCTGAACCATAGTATCTACTGTGTTGTAACTTGCCAGCAGTTAACAAGAAAGACTAAATATCCCTTTCCCAATTTCACTACCTTAAGTAGTTTAAAAAAGGGGGGTTTTCCCCTTTTTTAAAAGTTTAAGTATTTTATTGTTTAAAGTATTACAAAGTCTCCTTTTCCCCCCATTGATCTCTCCCCAGCTGTTCCCACCCCCAGCACATGCTCTCAACCTCCTACTGTCTGTGTCCATGGGTTATGCTTCAGTGTTTTAATATTAAAGATGATAATACTTCACCTGATTAAATATTAGGGGGAAATATGTTTTCTGATGTGTCTTGGATTGCTTTATGCAAAAATGTATATATATTCTTTTGGCTTTAGGTAAAGTGAGAATACTGATTGCTACTGACTTAGCATCTCGAGGTCTTGATGTCCATGATGTCACACATGTCTATAATTATGATTTTCCCCGGAACATTGAGGAGTATGTGCACAGAGTAGGGCGCACCGGAAGAGCAGGGTAAGTAAGCTTAGTCTACCCATGGGAAGCCAACTTTGGATCCTCATTATTCCCCTCACAGACTTTTACAAATAATATATTTTAACTGATTTTAGAGAGAGAGAAGGAGAAATAGAAACATTAATGATAAGAGAGAATCATTGATTTGCTGCCTCCTGCACACCCCGTACTCTGGATCAAGCCCGAAACCTGGGCATATGCCCTAACCAGGAATTGAACCTATGACCTCCTGGTTCATAGGTTGATACTCAACCCTGAGCCATGTCGGCCAGGCATCCCCTCACAGACATTTTTTACTAGAAAACTGTTTTGTTTTCTTGATTATAAATGGTTTTATTTTCTTGCCTATAAATTGTCTGAGTCACCCTATAACCTGCTTTGCTACTTTATTTCTGTTAAACTGGCCTGTTCTGGTTCAATAGACCCTTCTGTGGTTAGCTGCATGTAACTTTACAATTCCACCCTTAGCTTTATATCTATAGTGTCATATGTCCAGTGGTTACTCTTGTCCAAGTTGGCGTAAGTAAGAGGACCTTTTCTCCCCAGAGCAGCACTATCACAGACCCTTTGTAACGTGCTGTTTAAACACGTTACAAACTGCAGAGTGTCTAGATTCCATATTGCTGTTTAAATGATGCTAAAATCTGATGTATAATTCGTATTTGGGCTTGTGAAAGAGTTGAGGTTTTATTGCAGCTGCTTTATTTTGCTAAACGAATAATGAAGATAAGTTATAAATCAAAATTACATGGGTTTTTCTCCCCATTAAAGGAGGACTGGAGTGTCAATTACCCTTATCACTAGAAATGATTGGAGGGTTGCCAATGAATTAATTAACATTCTGGAAAGAGCAAATCAGGTAAGAATATAAAACTGATTAGAACACTACCTCATATCACATATGTTCAAATAATTTCATTTGTTCTCTTAACTTCGGCTTTCTGCTTACCAGAAAAGACAGATATTAAACAAGTAATTAAACATATTATGAGCCCTGGCCGGGTAGTTCATATGGTTAGAGCTTTGTTCCAATACGTCAAGGTTGTGGGTTCAATCCCAAGTCAGGGCACATACAAGAAGCAACCAACGGATGCACAAATAAGTGGAACAACAAATCAATCTTTTTCTCCCTCCCTCCTTCCCTCCCCACCCCTCTCTCTCTCCCTCCATCCCCCTCCTTCCCTTCTTCCCCTGTCTCCCCCATCTCTCCCTTTTTCTCTCAAAAAAATAAAAATGTTTTGAGAACTGTAGCCTAGCAAAGAGGAGGAGCTATGAAATTATATAATTATGGCCACTAATAAAATGGAGATGAAAGCCCTGCTGAGGAAGAAACCAGTGGGTTAGGAGAGTTGTAGAAGAATGGAGTAAGCATTCCAGCAGGGGAACATATTCAGGCCTAGAGATGAGAAAGAACAAAAAGAAAGTGGTACCAGGTAAGGCAAGTTAAAGGACTTGGGAAGCAACTGGGGGACTATACAAACGGAAGAGTGTACAATGGTGGGTGTTTTTAAGATCTGCCTGATTTTATAGCTTGAAGATAAATTCAGAGTTTAATATGCAGAGACACATTTGAAAGATGTCATGTAAATAGTTCTGGACATGCTCTGATTGAAATGGTTTGGAGGCATTACAGTATATTATGGAAAAGCTGTTATACTAAAAGAATATTCTCAATTGTAAAGTCATATTTAATGGTTTCAGAGTATCCCAGAGGAGCTTGTATCGATGGCTGAGAGGTATAAGGCAAATAAACTGAAAAAAGAAGTGGAAAAAAAATTGGGAAGACCCCAAGGAAAACCCAAGAAGTTTCATTATTAATGTCTATGTTGAAAAGTAGTTTCAGCCTTCTTATAGGAGGTAAAATTTGAATGACACATGGTCTTTCAAATTCCTGTTTTCTTTAACTAGGCTTTATTAGTATGTTTACTGCAATCAGCAGTATTTAAGAGTTATTTATTTTATTATTTTATTATTTTTTAAATAAATCTTTATTGTTCAGATTATTACAGTTGTTCCTCCTTTTTCCACCCATAGCTCCGCTTCTCCGCCCTTACCCTCCCCACTGTCCTCATCCATAGATGTACGAGGGCAGTTGGGAGTGACCGGCCTTCAGGGGAGGGCAGATAGGGGCAACCAGGATGGCATGGGTTTCAGCTCATTTCCTTCTTATCTATCCTAATATTTGGGATAGGACACTGCTTCCAAATATATTTGTATATTGAACAAAGCCCACCAGTTTTTTGGAGGCAATGGTCATTTCTAATATTGTCTCTTGCAACCTTCCACACATTTGTGCTTGGTGAAAAGTGGTGTTCAGTAAGTGCTTAATGAATGAAGGTGATGGGTAACTGTGTATTTTGTCTTTATCATTCCAATCTGGTAAAGCTTTCAGATTTTACATACTCCTTTTGCTTTTTATTAGTTGACTAATTTCTTTCCCAAAGGAATCAATCCTTTAATATTAGTTTAAGACAAACAGAACAGAATAATAATTTATTCACTTTTGTCAATCATTAGTGACAAATCTCAAACATTTTAAAAATATATACTTTTATTGACCTCAGAGAGGAAGGAAGAGGGAGAGAGAGATAGAAACATCAATGATGAGAGAGAATTATTGATTGGCTGCCTCCTGCACACTCTCTATTGGGGATTGAGCTCACAACCTGGGCATGTGCTCTTGGCCGGAATTGAACCTGGGACCCTTCAGTCCACAGGCCAATGCTCTATCCACTGAGCCAAATCATCCAGGGCCAAACATTTTAATTATTATAGTCACTCTAATTCTTCTCTTTTTAAAAATAAATGATCTCACTTATATGTGGAATCTAATGAACAAGATAAACTGATGAACAAATAGGGCCAGAGACATGGAAGCATGGAATAGACTGCCATATCTCAAAGGGAAGGGGTGGGAGGTGGAGGGTGTTGGGAAGAGATTAACCAAAGAACTCATCTATATATATAAAAGGCTAAGTGACCAAATGTCCATCTGTCCAACTGGCCAGTAATATGATGCACACTGGTGATTTAAAAATAAATGTTGACTTGCACGTGCATAATACATATATACCTCTCACTGGTGCCAATTGCACATGTGTTTTAATTTTATACTTCTAAAGGCCCGGTGCCCAAAACTCGGGGGGAAGGGGTGTCCCTCAGCCCAGGCTGCATCCTCTCCAATCTGCTCCAATCTGGGACATCCCTCTGACAATCCAGGACTGCTGGCTCCCAACCACTTGCCTGTCTGCCAGCCTGATCACCCCCTAACCACTCCCCTGCCAGCCTAATCGACACCTAACTGCTCCCCAGCCAGCCTGGTTGCCCCTAACTGTCCTCCCCTGCAGGCCTGGTCACCCCAACTTCCCTCCCCTGCAGGCCTGGATCCCCTCCAACTTCCCTCCCTTGTAGGCCTGGGTCCCCCCACTTTCCTCCCCTGATGGCCATCTTGTGGCAGCTATCTTATGTCCACATGGGGGCAGCCATGTTTGACCATATGGGACGGCCATCTTGTGTGTTGCAGTGATGGTAATTTGCATATTACCTCTTTATTATATAGGACTAGAGGCCTGGTTCATGAAAATTCATGCACTAGAGGGGGGGGTCTCTCAGCCTGGCCTGCCCCCTATCATAGTCCAGGAGTCCTCAGGGGTGGGAATGATGACACCCCATCACACCTCAGCTGCTGCCACTTTCAGCATCGCAAGCCTCAGCTGGCCCTGGTTATCTGAGCCTCAGGCAGCCCTGAGTGGCTGGGCAGCTGCCATCTCAGGCTTGCCTGTGCCTCAAGCTGGCCCTGAGGGGCTGAGAGGACTGGGTGCCATCATCTTGTGGCTGTGGGCGCCGCCATCTTTGAGGGTGGGACATTCAGCATATTCCCTCCTTATTGGCTGTGGTGCTGCCATCTTTGTGATGGTATGAGGGTCAAGTAGCATATTCCCTCTTTATTAGATAGGATATTATATATGCTATTTTGATATGTAATTTCTTGTGGTAACTTAATTACCACACAAATCTTCTAATTAATTTCCTTTCAATGTGCATAAATCCACTAACCAGGCCACTAGTCCTATATGCACATAAGCATAGCCCATGGACACAGACAACAGTGTGGTGAAGGCCTGGGGCGGGGTGGTAGCTAGGTGGAGGGGGACAAAAGGAAGGAAAATCAGGGACATCTGTAATACTCTCAACAACAATAAGTTAAATATATATAATTTATATATTTTTTTCAAAATTCACCAAAAATTGGAAATCCATTGTTTCTTTCATATTCAATTTCCTTTAACAGGAATTCTTTACTTATGCTGTTAATTTTATCTTGAGAGAATAGATTGACTACAGGAATAAAAAAATTCTTAAGACATTGTGTCTTGAGGCACTGAAGAAAGTATTCCAGGCATCTATCAAAGCAGATCTCCAGGTTGTCTCGCCACTGAATGTCATGTGGGTTCTGGGCACATACATGAAAGAAGGCAGTTTTCACGTGATAAGAACAGAATTCACCAAGTTCCTTTCGGTCTTCAAACTTTTCTTTCAATTTTTCTAAAAGATATTTCATTAGTTGTAAACAGCGTTTCCTGTTGAATAAAAAAGAAAACCATTTATCTTTACTTATTTACAACCTGCTTCATTCCACAAAGAGCTTTAGGCATCTTACAGGAAGATACAATAAACAATACAGATATTATAATACATAGAAAGACAAAGATATATATAAATATAATTCTGGTCACTCTATTTTTTCAATACATACTTTGAAGTTTCAAAAACATTTTTTTGCTTCCTGCTTCGCCATTCCTAGTTTAAATATTTTATCAGGATTAATTCAACTATAAAACTAGCAGATACTTGTATTATTCATCAAATTATTTGATAGATTATAAATATTTACATTATTCATCCAATCATTTCATAGTTGACAAAATTTTATGTTTTTAAAAATACTTAGCTTTACCAGCAATATAATTTTCTCACACTGGTTTCAAAGCCTGTACATGAAGCTTTATAGAACCTCCCGGTGCCGAAACCAGTTTGGCTCAGTGGATAGAGCAACAGTCTGCGGACTGTGAAGATCCCAGGTTTGGTTCCGGTCAAGGGCACATACACTGGTTGTGGGCACATCCCCGGTAGTGGGTGTGCAGGAGGCAGTTGGGCGATGTTTCTCTCTCATCAATGTTTCTAGCTCTCTATCCCTCTCCCTTCTTCTCTGTAAAAAATCAATAAAATATATTTTTTAAAAAAAGAACCTCCTGGGCCTGCAAGTTGGACATTGTTGTTTTGACCTTTTAACTTTTGTGACCCTTATATTGGACAACTTTATAAACTCAAATGAACAATACTTTTCCAATCTCATATATATATTAGATTATATATATATATATAATTTAATTCAAAAAGGAAGGAAGAGGGAGAGAGAAACATCAAAGATGAGATAGAATCACTGATTGACTGCATCCTGCACACCCCCTTACTGGGGATCAAGCCTGCAACCTGGGCATATGCCCTCAACTGGAATCAAACCTGGGACCCTTCAGTCCGCAGGCTGATGTTCTATACACTGAGCCAAACTAGCTAGGGTCTCACTTTTTTATGGTGTGTATGCTGCCAAGAAAAAGAATTGCCCATCTTTTTGTTGTGTCAAATGGCCTTCAATGCAGCCAACCCATCTCAAAGCAGAACTGGTATAAAAAAGATTGATCCTCTGTCACCTTCCCATTGTGTGACATTAATATTCATTACCTTGAAGCAACCAGAATACTAAGACACAACCAGTGTCTAATGGCTAATCATGGCTAGTGTCCTTTCTGTCCTACTTCTTGTTCTATCCTACTTTACACATCGATCTGATCCAGGTTCAGGACTACACTTCTGACAACACTCTTTCTTTGGTCCCCTAGTTTCATGCTCACCCTCTAGATAATATTCCAGGTCAGTCCAGCCATGTGCTACTCCCAGGACTCAACTCAGTAATGACCTCCTATAGGTCTGATCTATGGAGTCAATTAAAAAGATTCCAAAGATAAGCCCCTAATTAACAAAATAAGAAAGTTACCTGCAACATTTCACTCCCTTACTTTCACAGCATTTTTTAGAGTCTCCATGATTTTTCAAAATGGCCTTTTCAATGTGAGAGAAGGATAGCCGCCATGTTTCTTCTTAATTTTCAAAAGAAAAAAAAAAAATAGAGAATTTAACCAAAGTGCCTACATATAAACAATACAATATTGAAACAATTTCTTTCATTAAAATATCATTCTGAAAAATTCTAGGGGGATATAGACCCAAAGAAATGAAATAATGTAATTACATCTTAAAAGAAGTAATTTGAAGCAAACTATGGACCAAAATAGGAAAAAACTAGGGGGGGGGCAGGGGGAAGGTTGCTTAATATAGTTATCTATGTAAGATGGATAGAGCATCGGCCTGCGGACTGAAAGGTCCTGGGTTCGATTCCGGTCAAGGGCATGTACCTTGGTTGCAGGCACATCCCCGATGGGGGATGTGCAGGAGGCAGCTGGTCAATGTTTCTCTCTCATCGATGTTCTAACTTTCTATCTCCCTTCCTCTCTATAAAAATATATTTTTTTTTCAAATAACAATAATTTGAATGACTTGATCAAAAAATTTATACCATCTTTACAAGTTTTGGTATTCATGTAAAATGAATTGGGGAACATTTCTATTCCCTGTGAAAGTTTATGTAAGAATAGATTTCTCCCCTTCCTCCAAGTTTACCATGGCTAACTCTTTTAAGTTTGGGCTATCTTATTGTATAGTTGTTGTTGTTTTTTTAAATTTAATAAATCTTTATTGCTCAGATTACAATTGTTTCTCCTTTTCCCCTCCATAGCTCCCTTCCACCCAGTTCCCATCCCACCCTATGCCCTTACCCCCCCCCCATTGTCCTCATCCACAGGTATACGATTTTCAAAAAAATATGTCTTTATTTTTCAGATTATTACAGGTGTTCCTCTTCCCCCACTCCCCCCAATAGCTCCCCTCCACCCGATTCCCAACCCAACCCCATGCCCTTACCCCCACCACTGTGTAAGGTGTAAGATTTTTGTCCAATCTCTTCCCACACCCCTCAGATCCCCTTACCCCTGAGAACTGTTAGTCCAATCCCTTTCTATGTGTCTGATTCTATTGTATTCACCAGTCCATTTTGTTCTTCAGATTTTTTATTCACTTGATTTTTAGATTCACTTGTTGGTAGGTATTTTATGTCTTTTTGTTGTTCATAATTTTTTACCTTTACCTTTTTCTTCTTCTTCCTCTTCTTAAAGAATACCCTTCAACATTTCATGTAATCCTGGTTTGGTGTTGATAAACTCCTTTAACTTTTTTTTTGTCTGTGAAGCTCTTTAGCTGACCTTCAATTCTGAATGATAACTTTGCTGGGTAGAGTAATCTTGGTTGTAGGTTCTTGCTATTCATCACTTTGAATATTTTTTTACTACTCCCATCTGGCCTGCAGTTTCTGTTGAGAAATCAGCTGACAATGATATGGGTGCTCCCTTATAGGTAACTAACTGTTTTTCTCTTGCTGCTTGTAAGATTCTCTCTTTGTCTTTTGCCCTTGCATTTTAAAAATATATTTTATTAATTTTTTGCAGAGAGGAAGGGAGAGAGATAGAGAGCTAGAAACATCGATGAGAGAGAAACATCGACCAGCTGCCTCTTGCATACCCCCTACAGGGATGTGCCCGCAACCAATGTACATGCCCTTGACCGGAATCAAACCTGGGGCCTTTCAGTCCTCAGACTGATGCTCTACCACTGAGCCAAACCGGCTTCGGCTGCCCTTGCATTTTAATTATGATATGTCTTGGTGTGGTTCTCTTTGAATTTCTTTTGTTTGGGGTTCTGTGTGCTTCCTGGACTTATAAGTCTATTTCTTTCACCAGTTGGGGGAAGTTTTCTGTCACTATTTCTTCCAATATATTTTCGGTGTCTTACTCTCTCTCTTCTTCTGGGATTCCCATAATTCTGATGTTGGTACGCTTGAAGTTGTCCCAGAGGCTTCTTACATTATCTTCAACTTTCTGGATTCTCTTCTCTTTTTGCTTCTCCAGAGGAGTGTCCTTTGCCTCTTTGTATTCCAAATCTTTGACTTGATTCTTGTGATCTGCTGTTGGATCTCTGTATAATATTTTTTACTTCAGTCAGTGTATGTTTAATTTCTAGTTGGTCCTTTTTCATATCCTCAAGGGTCTCATTAAATTTATCGGCCTTTTCTAGGAAATTCTTGAAAAACCTTATAATCGTGGTTTTGAACTCTATATCCAGTCGTTTGTTCTCCTTCATTTTTGTTTGTTTGTTTGTTTTGTATGAGATCTGTTTCCTTGTCTCCCCATTTTCGCTGCTTCCCTGAGTTGGTAGGGTGGTTTTGTGTGTTTGGTGTCTTATATGGGCTGGTGGGTTAGTCTCCCCAGTTACCTGAGGTAGACACTCTTGATGCTCCCCCTTGTGTACTGCATGTACAGCCCTGTTGTAGTTAAGTCTCTTTTTAAAAAATATATTTTATTGATTTTTTACAGAGAGGAAGAGAGAGGGAGAGTTAGAAACATCAATGAGAGAGAATCATTGATCAGCTGCCTCTTGTACACCCCCTACTGGGGATGTGCCCGCAACCAAGGTATATGCCCTTGACCGGAATCAAATCTTTCAGTCAGCAGACCAACGCTCTATCCACTGAGCCAAACCGGTTTCGGCTGTAGTTAAGTCTTGCTTGTTGTTAGTATCACTGGGAGGAATTGACCTCCAGGATGTATCAGCTGTGTATACACTGGGATACCTTCTATATTGGAAACGGTCTTATAGGATCAGACTTGCAAAATTGCAAAAGCCTCTGTGCTCAGCTTGGATGGGGCAGAGTCTCAGGGCTGAGTCAACAGTCTTGGCTTCCCATCAGCCCTGCCCTTGTGCGTGTTCCTCAGACCTCTGCCTTCCATGGATCCCGAGTTTCTGCCTCACAGTCCAGATTCCCCTTGTAAGAGTGTGAGTGCTCCAGGGGTTCGCCCTGAACTGGGTATCAGTGCTCAGTGCAGTCAGAACTGGGGTTCAGTGCAGTCAGGAGCTTCCGAATCCTTCCGCTATGGAGCAACTGTGACAATCCGCAGTCAGACCTCTCTGCATACACTAACTGGTGCATGACTCTAGATCCTGCCTGCTGCGACTCACGGCTTCCCCAAGTCTCCCAGTCTCTGAATCTCCAGGTACCTTTCTCTACAGTCCAGACTCCACCTGTATGAGCCTGGGTCCACGATTTTCGGCTGGGGTTGGGGTTCAGTGCAGTTGGGGGCTCCTTTTCCCCTTCTGCCAGCTAGGCACTAGTCCGCCTTTCCTCTCTGTGCGCACATCTCCCTACCTCAGAGCTTTGCGGCTCCCCTGATCCGTGAGCCTCTCTCCTTCTTTCTAGTTGTAGATTTCCCACTCAGCCAACTTTCCTGTAGTTTTGGATGCTGTCTGTTCTATCTTTTAGTTGTTGTTTTGAAATTGTTGTGCAAGGGGGTAGTTTAGGCACTCACCTAGGCCGCGATCTTGGTTTTTTATATATAGTTGGTTTTATACCAGGAATGCACAATTGGTTTATAATTTAACAACCAATCAATATAATCTGTCTCAACAGAATTGAGGAGAAACGTGATCTCAAAATATGGAGAATGTGTAGGTAATGAAATTTAACATTAATTTATCACTTTAAAAATATATATTTTTGTTGATTTCAGAAAGGAAGGGAGAAGGAAATAGAAACATCAATGATGAGAGAGAATCACTGATTGGCTGCCTCCTTCAGGTCCCCTCCTGGAGATGGAGTCTGCAACCCAGGCATGTGCCCTTTTCCAGAATTGAATCTGCGACCCTTCAGTCTGCAGGCCAAAACTCTATCCACTGAGCCAAACCAGCCACAGCTCATTCATCTTTTTTTTTTTTAAAAAAAAAGCCTTGGCAATTTAAATTTGGCTGTCAACTTGTTCTGATAGACAGATTTTAAAAAGGACACAACAACATGATAATATAAGATAAAAAGCTGAGGTTTTTTCCCTTGAAATGAGTTAGGCAGATGTCTGCTATCCCTATTTCTGTTCAACATGCACTGGCTATCCTAGCAGGCATAATAAGGTATCTGGCATTGGAAATAGAGGAACAAAGATATCATTATTGATAGATAATACAACTATGTTGGAAGAAAATACAAAAGAAGCTAGGTGACAGATATGTATAAGTTTAGTAAATTCTTCATTCTACTTTTGGTTTAAAATTTTTCAGACAAAAAACTTACAATTGCCCATGAATAAATGTAACAAAATATATATAAAACTTCAGTGGAGAAAACTAAAATGTCATTAGGAAGTATTAGAGAGAATCTAAAAGGAGATATGCACTTATCCATTAATTGGAAAACTCCTTATTATAAATATATCAAGTCTTCCAAATTTTATCTATGGATTCAATGTACTCTCAATCAATATTGAAAAAAAAATGCTTTGGTAGAACTTGACAAGATGATATGAAAACTTTCATGAAAATACAAGGAGTCAAAAATATCTAAAATACTCATGAAGAAAGATCAAGTAGGATAACTTGCCCTACCAAATACCAAGACTTATAAAGACACATTATGTATAACAATATATATAGTGCAAGGGTAGACAAAGATTTTAATGGAACAGAATAAAGAGTGTAGTAATAGCTATATAATATATGGACAGTGGATATGTGTAAAAGGTGGTACTGAGCTAGGTATGCTCATTGCTATATATATTCATTTATGTCAGCCACTTATGCCACTCTGGAAAAGGCAAAACAATATAGATGATAAACTATAGAGATCAGTGGTTGCCAGAAGTTTGGAATGGGAAGGGTTAAATAAGTGAAGAAGAAGGGACATTTTAGAGCAGTGAAATTATTATGAAGGGTAGAAGCATGATACAATGCATTTGTCAAAACCAGTAGAACTTTTATAGCTCAAAGAGTGAATCCTAATATATGTAAACTGTTCAAAAAATCATTTAGGAGATCAAGGGATACTAAAAATAATGCAGACTGTGAAAAGGGACTCCAACTGCATTACAAATGTATAAAACAACTTTTCTGAAAGGGGGGAGCAAAAGGTGTGGAAGTTATTTTGGAAATAGGGTATGTAAGACTGAAGGCAAAAGGAACTGTACATTAGCTCTGTACTCTAGTTGGTAACTGTTTCCTGTGGAGGAGTGCTTTGCAATTGTGAAATAACTATACTAGTATGTTCTTACTAGAACTGTACAAGCATATAGGTGGCAGATGTGGGAATCAGGTTTTTCACTTTGGAATGAGAGGCTACAGATAGCAAGGAGAGAAAGAATGATCCATGTGATAATGGGTCATAATTAGAGACAGTATAAACTCATGAATAACAACATATACAATAGGTAGTTACATATAAAAATATCTCATATAATAAAAGGCAAATATGCAAGTTGTTCCCTCGACCAGGAGTTCACCCAGGGAGTGGGGCAGGCCGGCCTGACCCTACCCAAGCACGAATTCGTGCACCAGGCCTCTAGTTTATAGATATGTGTATGTACCAGGGTTAGAACATGTACTTACCTATATTCCCTTGTTTCCCTAGCTGGGAGGGTTGACACCCTCCTAACAGAGCACACATACACATAGCACCTAGATTGTGGTTTCTAGTACATTCTCCAAAAAAAAGGAACCAAAATTCCTTGGAGAAATGGCAGATTCTAGGACTAATACATGAAATATACCAGATGAGCCTTGAACATCTTGTAGAGCCAGAAAGTGAGTTAGTGATGAAGACAAACAAACAAAACACCCCCACAATTATGGGACATGTCCCAGGGCACAGAACCAACTCAAAGAGCTCCTAAAGGCCAAAGCTGGAACAAATGAAACAGTAACATTAATAAAGTGTTATTGGATTACAGCCCAAATCTCCCATGCAGAATTCAAAAAAATCTGAGTAAATACTCTGCTCTTGCCAAGCTGGTGTGGCTCAGTGGTTGAGCTTCGACCTATGAACCAGGAGGTCATTGTTCAATTCCCAGTCAGGGCACATGCCCGGGTTGCGAGCTCTATCCCCAGTGAGGGGTGTACAAGAGACAGCCGACCGACAATTCTGTCTCATCACTGATGTTTCTATCTTCCTCTCCCTCACCCTCTCCCTCTCCCTTCCTCTCTGAAATCAATTAAAAAAATAATGCACTGCTCTTAAAGAGGTGGCATAACTCCCCACTCCTTAAGTGTGAGCTGTGCACAGAGACCTCCTTCCAAATAGTACAGTATAAACAGAGGGAAATGAGTAACAGTGGAGAAACTGACAAGCACTACCTCAGCCAGGTGATCAAGGTCAATATCAGCAGTGCTAAGTCATGTTCAGGGCATGTATCCTTAAAATGATGCAATGAAAATGGCACTTTAGCTCCCTGGTCTCCCTTTACAAAACCCAGAACTCCACTCTAGTCATAAGAAAAACATCAGGCACATGCCATATGAGGGACATTCTACAAATAATTAACTAATATTCCTCAAAACTGTCAAGGTCATCAAAAACAAGGGAAGGCTGAGAAACAGTTAAAGTCAAGAGGAGCCCTGGTGGGTGTGGCTCAGTGGTCAGAGTGTTGGCCTGCTTACCGAAGAGTCATGGGTTCAATTCCCAGTCAAGGGCACGTACCTAGGTTAAAGGTTTGATCCCTGGCACCGGCTGGGGTGCATGCAGGAGGCAATCAATTGATGTGTCTCTCTCACATTGATGTTTCTCTTTCCCTCCCTTCACTCTGTCTAAAAATCAATGGGAAAAAAATCCGTGGGTGAGGATTAAGAACAACAAAAAAGAGGAGCCTAAGGAGACATGATGACAAAATGTAATGTGGTGTCCTAGATGAGATCCTGGAATAGGAAAAGGACATGGGTAAAAACTAAGGAAATGTGAATAAAGTGTTGTTTAGAGAGATTTGGTAACTAGCCCACGATCTCACAGTTAAGACAAGAAGCCTCAGGATCCAGAGCGAGAGAGCAGTTTGACTCTGAGGCCAGTACTGCTTTCTTTATTAAAAAACAAGCCTGACTAGTGTGGCTCAGGGATTGAGCATCAACCTATGAACCAGGAGGTCACAGTTCTATCCCTGGTCAAGGCACATGCCCAGATTGCAGGCTTGAGCCCCAGAAGTGGGTGTGCAGGAGGCAGCTAATCAATGATTCTCTCTCATCACTGATGTTTCTATATCTCTCTCCCTCTCCTTTACTCTCTAAAATCAATAAAAATGTCCTGTATAATACAAGGCTAACATGCAAAAATTGTCCCCTCAGGAGTTTGACCTACTGGGAGTTTGACCGCCCACTATGACATGATGTGTGCTGACCATCAGGGGGCTGCATGGAACAAAAGAAGGCCCTGGTCAGCAGCTGACAGCTGGCAGCTGGGGGAAGGAAGGCCCCAATCAGCCCTGATCACTGGCCAAGCCTAGGGACCCTACCCGCGCACGAATTTCATGCACTGGGCCTCTAGTGTTTTAAATAAAAAAGGTAACATTTTAATGTGGGCTACTAGACATTTTAAAGCTCAGTATTTGATGTTACTACTACAACTATGCCATTTTCAATTCCATCACTCACCAAACTCCCATCTTGTACTAGTAGCCTGTTTAGCCTGATGACTCTTAAAATGCCAATAGCAGTCATCAATCTTTTACTGCCCTTGTATATAACATTAACAGTTCTTTTGTATGTTTTTAAATTAACCTTCACATTTAAGATACCTTGAAAAACATTTCCTTCCTTTGCAGGCTTAGGTACCAGGTAAAATGGCTGTAATTTTAGACTTTTCTTAACTTTTCCTCCAAGCCAGTTTTCAATGGGCATGCCTTCCTGGGTGCTATGTGGCCAGCTGCTTTGTACTTTCAAAGCCAAGATTATATCCACAGATATTTCTTTAGGTGTTTTAATAAGAAGTGTTACAGCAGGACACCCCTTCTTCTTCTTCTCCACAATGATATCCATACCTGTTTAAACATGTAAAAGGAAAAAAAGTGTTTAGCAATCTAATTTTCTTAAAAATATAGGAAAAAATAGCATAACCATAGTTGGATATCCATAGAGTATTAAGTTGGAAATTAGTTCTAAAGCAGAAACTGACCCCACAACACAAAATGTTTTACTCATTTAGCCAATATTCATTGATATGTATTATGGTGGGACGGTACTGTCAAAATCGGTCTAGCATGATGATGGGGAGCCCCTGAAAATTGGGGTTTGGGAGTGCTTTGGTTAGATTTTCATTTAAGTTGATGAATGGCAGTTTGGAGGGAAGCCTGGAAAAGAGGGCAGATGAGCGGCAATAGCAATCCATATATTATCCAATATCCAATATATGGAAATAACCTCAGAATCCATTGACAGATGAGTGGATAAAAAAAATCGTGGTATGGCCGAAACCAGTTTGGCTCAGTGGATAGAGCGTCGGCCTTCGGACTGAAAGGTTCGATTCCGGTCAAGGGCATGTACCTTGCTTGCAGGCACATCCCAGTAGAGGGTGTGCAGGAGGCAGCCTATTGATATTTCTCTCTCTCTCACATCGATCTTTCTAACTCTTTATAAAAAAATCAATAAAATATATATATTTTTAAAAATTGTAATATGGCCCTAGCTGGTCAAGGGCACATGCCCAGGTTGTGAAGGAGGCACAATGATTCTCTCTCCCTCTCCCTTCCTCTCGGGAATAAATAAAAATATATTTTTTTTAAAAATTGTGGTATGGCTGAGACCGGTTTGGCTCAGTGGATAGAGCGTCGGCTTGGGGACTGAAGGGACCGGGTTCGATTCCGGTCAAGGGCACGTACTTTGGTTGCGGGCATATCCCCAGTAGGGGGTGTGCAGGAGGCGGCTGATTGATGACCCTCTCATCGATGTTTCTAACTCTTAATCTCTCTCCCTTCCTCTCTGTACAAAATCAATAAAATATATTTTTAAAAAATTGTGGTATGCACAGGTACATCTTGGAGATATTGTGGCTTCAGTCCCAGACCCCTGTAATAAAACAGTGAATATTGCAATAAAACAGGTCACACAAATTGTTTGGTATCCTAGTGAATACAAAAGTTATGTTGTATTGTAGTCTATTAAATGTGCACGTGCATTATGTCTAAGAAAACAATGTACATACCTTAATTTAAAAATACTTTATTGCTAAAAAATGCTAACGCACCATCTGAGCATGTTGGCAAAAATAGCACCAATAGACTTGCTCAATACAGGGCTGCCACAAACCTTCAATTTGTAAAAAATGCATTATCTGTGAAGTGAAATGAACTGAAGTGAAATAAAATGAGGTATGTCTGTATATGCGTGAAATATTAATCTTAACAAAGAAAGAAATCCTGTCATTTGTGACAACATGGGTGAACCTGGAGAAAATAAGCCAGATACAGGAAGGCAAATGCTGCATGACCTCACTTCTAAGTGAAATCTAAAAAAGCAGAAGCCATCAAAACCAGTTTGGCTCAGTGGATAGAGCATCGGTCTGCGGACTGAAAGGTCCCAGGTTCAATTCCAGTCAAGGGCGTGTACCTTGGTTGAGGGCACATCCTTGGAAGGAGGTATATAGGAGGCAACTGGTCAATGTTTCTCTGTCATCAATGTTTCTAGCTCTCTATCCCTCTCTCTTCTTCTCTGTAAAAAATCAATAAAATATATATTTTTAAAAAATAAAATAAAAGCCGAAGCTGGTTTGGCTCAGTAGTAGAGCATCGGTCTGCGGACTGAAAGGTCCCAGGTTCGATTCCGGCCAAGGGCATGTACATTGGTTGCGGGCACATCCCCGATAGGGGGTGCGCAAGAGGCAGCTGGTCGATGTTTCTCTCTCATCGACGTGTCTAGCTCTCTATCTCTCTCCCTTCCTCTCTGTAAAAAAAAAAAAAAATCAATAAAATATAAATAATTAAAAATAATAATAATAATAATAAAATAAAATAAAATAAAAAAGCAGAAGCCACAGAGGCAGAGAGTAGAATGGTGGTTACCAGAGGTGGGGGAAATGGGAGATGTTGGTCACAGGGAACAAAGTTGCAGTTAGGTAGAGTGAGTCCAGACATCTAATGTACAGCATGACGATTGTCATTACCACCACCACACTGGCCGTCGCCAGTTGACCACTATGGTCTATGAGGTCCGAAAGGTTGGTGACCGCTGATACAGAGTAAGCAGGAGGAAGAAGGGTTGAGCTGAAATGAACTTCATTTAGACACGCTGAGCTCTAGGTCCCTGTAGGATACCCAAGTGAAGATGGCCACTGGGAAAGTAGCTATGGTGGTCAGAAATTTGAGAAAGACTTCCAGGTGAGAGTACTGGCTTTGTGATTTAGAGGGGTATAAGCAGTAAAGACTACTCCCAGATAAGACTTCTGAAAGGGCCACAGTGAGAAAGAATACCAAGGAGAAAATCCTAAAGAACACTCTCATTTTCTTATCATCAAATCTGCAAACCTCTTCCACTCCTACCCATGTTATCCTTCTTCCTCTTAGTACCACTGAGGAAATATCCCTTCACTTTTCCAAGGCCACCCCTGGACCTGCCTCTGGGACCTCTCTTGCTCAAGACCTCGCTCCTTCAATTGTTCCCTCTCTTGCATCCATGGACTACCCTCCCTGCTAGATCATTCCTCTTAACATACAAAGGGTTCCAGTGTCCTTCATTCTAAAACATACCTTTTTTAGTCCTATATTGCTTCCTCCTACTTACCCATATTTCTTTTCTTTTTTTAAAAAAATATATATTTGATTGATTTTTTACAAAGAGAAAGAGAAAGGGATAGAGAGTTAGAAACATTGATAAGAGGGAATCATTGATCAGCTGCCTCTTGCACAACCCCTATTGGGGATGTGCCTGCAACCAAGGTACATGTCCACAGGCCGACGCTCTATCCATTGAGCCAAACTGGTTTCGGCCTTACCCGTATTTCTACTTCCTTTGCAGACAAAACTTTCTAGAGTTGCCTACAGATGCTGTCTCTACTGCACCCCTGCCCCCCTTTTTTTTTCTTGTGTGTTCATAATCTCTCTAAAACTACTAAATTGGTTAACAATAATCCTCACAAAACCACAGACCAAATCCAACGGTTTTCTGGATGTCAGCAGCATTCTAAACACTGACCACTGCTTCTGTAAAACCACTCAATCTCCTTTCATTCCTTCTCCCCAACTTCTAAAGGGATCCTCTCCTTAACCACTCTACTTAACATTATAATTAACCCCCTTCCTATTCCTAAATCTCCAGATCCCTCTCACTTTGCTAGCCTTTTCCCCATAGAACTTAATACTCTCTAGTATACAGGATAATTGTGTTTTCCATTTGTCATTAATTGCATATCTGCTCTTACATAATTATAAGGTACAGAAGAGTGAGGGTCTTCATCTATTTGTTCCTTAACATATCCCAACTATCTAGACCATCTGTCACATTAGATAATCAACAAATATTGATTAAATTAATGAATAAGTTCATCTACACTCTGTCAAAGGAACCACATATATGTTGACATGTACCCCAAATGTATCGCCTGAACTCCAAACACACATCCAACTATGTACTTGACACATTCACTTTAACATATCACAGGGATATCTAACTTAAGATATCCAAAGCCAAACTCCTCATTCATTCCCTAAAGTGTTCCTTTCTGTTCTTCCAATCTTAGTAAATGGCACAATCTACACAGGTGCTTAATCCAGAAACCTGGGAGCCTTCTTCAATTCCATCCTCTTTCTCATCCCCATACTTAATCCAGAAGCAAGCACTGCTACAGTTTGGATGTGTCTGCTTCTCTCCATCTTAACACCCCACTTCACCCCCACCTTTTCATTTGAACTATTTAAATATTTTCCTTTCTAATCTTCTCACTTGCTTTCTCATAATATCTTCTCCAAAGAAGCCAGAGTAAACACTTAAAAATACAAACCTATCCCAGCTAGTATGGGTCATGGGTTTGAGTCCCAATCAGGACATGTGCAGGAGGCAGCCAATTGATAATGTTTCTCTCCCAGGGATGTTTCTATTTCTCTTTCTCCCTTCCTCTCTCTCAAAAAATCAATAAAAACGTATTCAAGCCGGGACTAGTTTGGCTCAATGGATAGAGCGTCGGCTTGTGGACTGAAGGGTCCCGGGTTCGATTCCGGTCAAGGGCATGTACCTTGGTTGCGGGCATATCCCCAGTAGGGGGTGTGCAAGAGGCAGCTGATCGATGATTCTCTCTCATCGATGTTTCTAACTTGCTATCTCTCTCCCTTCCTCTCTGTAAAAAATCAATAAAATATTTAAAAAAAAACAAAAACGTATTCAAGTGCATATTCAATGGAGACCAAAAAATAGAGCCAATCAACATTTTAAAAGAATACCAAGAAAATGCAGTAGAATAACATCAAGTGCAAAGAGTTGTTTCTGGGAGGTAGTGGTCAACAGTGTGCTGTAGGAAGGTCAAGAAAGATTAGGAGAGGAATATACATAGGCAATTAGTAGATATGATTAGAACTTTAAGGATCAAAACTCACTCAAAAATCTTACCTTCCATATTTTTAATTTCTTTCTTAATGAGTTCCCTAAACTTGGACAGCATCTTAGAAGCTGATAATATTTCCCCTTCTAAAAACTGATTCAGAGGATTTCCTTTGGGGTTTCTTTTGAACTTCACAAAGTAATGAGCACCACTGTCGCAATATTCTTCTAGCTGAATTCTGGGGACATCCAGTTTAAACATAATGTCAAATTCATTAGGAGCAGAAACCTAAGAAAAAGTAAAAACAGCAGTGAAATGTTTGCTTGTGAATATTTTCCAAGCAACTGCAATTTTTTTCTTAAGATTTCCACTTAAAACCTTATTTTAAAAAACAAGACTCCTAATAGGTCCAGTGGAGTTGGGAAAGTATTGTTGGCTTTTGTTTGTAGGTTCTATACTCATTTTTAACCATAATATATATATGGGATTTCTATACTTTAAAACACTTTTATTAATTTAAAAATATTTTTTATTGATTTCTTTTTAGGGAGAGAGAAATATTCATGTGAGCATGAAGCATGATTGGCTTCAGCCAATACACCCCCTACCAGGGTTCAAGTTGACAATTTGGGCATACTAGTATGTCTGGACAGAATATGGAACTGGCAACCTTTTGGTGCACAGGACAACACTCAACCAAGCCACACTGGCCAGAACTTATTCTATTAATTTTATTTTATTTTTCAATATATTTTATTGATTTCAGAGAGGGAAGAAGAGAGAGAAACATAAGTGATGAGATAGAATCATTGATCAACTGCCTCCTTGCCACCCCACACTGGGGATAGAACCCACAACTTGGGCATTTGCCCTGACTGGAAATCCAACCGAGACCTCCTGGTTCATAGGTCAATGCTCAACCACTGAGCCATGCTTGCTGGGCTTAAAAGAATTTTAAACGATATCATGTGCCCTGGCCAGTTTGACTCATTGGATAGAGCATTAGCCTGTGGACCAAAGGGTCCTAGGCTCGATTTTAGTCAAGGGCACATACCACAGTTGCAGGCTCCCACCAGGCCCAGGCTCTGTTCAAGCTTCATACAGGAGGCAACCTATTGATGTGTTTGTCTCACATCTATATGTCTCTCTGACTTTCCCTCTTTCTTCTACTCTCCCTAAAATTCAATGAAAAAATATCCACTGGTGAGCGAGCATTAACAACAACAAAAAGATATCATGTAAGCTTTTAAAATCTGTACCAGGTTTACTCTTATTAAATTAAAGACCTGCAAGGAGCTACCTTTCACATCACAAGATACACCCTCCTGTTACAATTTTGAGATCATTGTGTGATGTCAAAAATGTGTGTATTCACTACTGGCTAGTTGCACAAGGGCTATCTCATATCTACTGGTCACCCAAGTGAGTGTGAGCTCCAAGTCACGTACAATAATAGTGTCTTAGAAGCATTTGTAGAAACTTCAAAGAACCTTTTCCAATCTCACAATAACTAAAGCAATTATAATAAATGCGTGTTTTTACTATATTAAAAAAGCCACAAGTCTTTCCCTACTTAGGATAAGCTTCAGGTACAGCTATTGGACTGTACTGTTCAACATGGCACTTAGCAGCCATATGTCTATTGACCACATGAAATGTGTCTAGTCCAAACTTAGATGTATTGTGCTGTGTACTTAACTGTCCTCCCAAAAATTTAGATATTGAAGCCCTAATCCCCAATGTGTCTGTACTTGAAAACAGGACTTTCAGGAAGTAATTAAGGTTAAATGTGATCATGAGGGTGTGGTTCTAATCTTATAGGATTGGTGACTTTGTAAGAAGAGGAAAAGAAAAAGATTGCATTTTCTCTGTTTACATACACCAAAAAACACAGTGAGAACACTGGGGACTATAAACTAAATCTTCCAGACAGAAATAAAGAAAACAGCAGCCTTACTTGACACATTAGACCAGATGGATTTAATTGATATATTCAGAGCATTTCACTCCAAAGCAGCAGAATATACATTTTTTCATGTGCATTTGGAACATTTCCTAGGATAGACCACATATTAGGCCATGCAACAGTAACAATAAATTTTAAAAGATTGAAAAAGATGTTATCAAGCATCTTCTCCAACCACAAAGGTATGAAACTAGATACAAACTATTAAGAAAGAAATTGAAAAACACATGGAGGTTAAATAACATGCTACTGAACAATGAATGGTTAACAATGAGATCAAGTGGTAAGGTATGTACACATATAATATCTTAATTAAAAAAATAAATTAAAAAAACAAACAAACAATGAGATCAAGGAAGAAACCACAATGACCCAACTGACCCAAAATCTATGGGATTCAGCAAATTCAGTCCTAAGAGGGAAATTCATAGCACTGTAGGCCTACCTCAAGAAACAAAAAAAATCTCAAATAAACTATCTAACCTTACACACCTAAAGAAACTAGAAAAATAACAAACAGTCCAAGTGAATTGAAGGAAGGAAATAATAAAGATCAGAGTGGCAATAAACAAAGTATAGTCTAAAAAATAAACAATATAAAGGATCACTGAAACCAAGAGCAGGTTCTTTAAAAAGATAAACAAGATGGATAAACCTTTAACCAAACTCATCAAGAATAAAAGTAAGCCCAGCTGGTAAGCCCAGTAGTTGAGCTATAACCCATGAATCAGGAGGCTGAGGTTGGATTCCTGGTTAGGAAATATGCCCCAGTTGTAGGCTCCATCCCTAGTAGCGAGCATGCAGGAGGCAACCAATCAAGATTGATGTTTCTATCCCCCTCTCTCTCTCTGAAGTCAGTAAAAAGGTATCTTTTTTTTTTAAATATATTTTATTGATTTTGTACAGAGAGGAAAGGAGAGAGAGAGTTAGAAACATCGATGAGAGAGAGTCATCGATTAGCTGCCTCTTGCACACCCCCTACTGGGGATATGCCACAACCAAGGTACATGCCCTTTGACCGGAATCGAACCCGGGTCCTTCAGTCCCCAAGCCGATGCTCTATCCATTGAGCCAAACTGGTCTCGGCAAAAGGTATCTTTTTAAAAAGAAGAAAAAAAAAAAAAGACCCATGTGAATAAAATAAAAACAAAAAACAAAAGAGAAGTGAAAACTGACATCATAAAAAAAACAAAGGAGTGTAAGAAAATACCACAAACAAGTATATGCCAACAAATTAGATCATTTTGAAGAAATGCATAAATACCTAGAAACAAAGAATCTTCCAAGACTAAATCAAGAAATTGAAAATATGCAGAGACCAATTAGTACCAACAAAATCAAATCAGTACTCAAAAAACTGCTAACAAATAAAAGTCCAGAACCTATGGCTTCACAGATGAATGCCACCAAACACTGAAAGAAGAATTAACACCTATCCTATCAAACTATTCAAAAAAATTCAAGAGGAAGGAAGGCTACAAAGCTCATTTTATGAGGTAGCCATTACTTTCATTCCCAAAACAAACAAGGACATCGCACACACACAAATACAGGCCAATATCCCTGATGAGCATAGATGTAAAAATCCTCAACAAAATATTAGCAAACCAGCCCTAGTCGGTTTGGCTCAGTGGATAGAGTCATCCTATGGACTGAAGGGTTCCAGGTTCGATTCAGGTCAAGGGCAAATGCCCAGTAAGGGGCGGGCAGGAGGCAGACAATCAATGATTCTCTCATCATTGATGTTTCTCTCTCCCTCTCCCTTCCTCTCTGAAATCAATAAAAATATATTTAAATATATATATTAGCCAACCAAATTCAGCAATATATTAAAAAGATCATACAGAATAATCAAGTGATATTTAGTCCTGAGACTTCCCGGGCGTTTCCGGAAGAATCCGGGTCCTGGCCCAGGGACTAAGGACATGTGAGTGACTGGGGCACTGTGGTTGCTCACCAGACTTCTTCTCAGCTTCCATCAATAGAGAACCTTTTGTGATAGTCTCTATAGATGCTGAAACGACATTTGGCAGAATTTACAATCTATCCCTTATTAAACTTTAAGATTAGAAAGAGACGGGTGCATCTGGGTAAAGGTCTCTCTGAGAAACCAACAGGTTACGGCATCCTAAAGGGACTGACTCCAGTCGATCCGGTTCAAGCCAGAAACTAGCCGAGGGCTCCCCGTTACTTGGGGAAGTCCTGGCCCAGCTGACCCTGCAGCGGGCAGACGACGGAGAAGAGAAAGTGGCAGTTGTCCTTTGTAGACGATAGGAGGGCCGACCTATAAAATCTAAGTGTGTCCGTGGAAGGCCTACTAGCAGCATTCTGTAAGTTGACCCAAATGACACATATATCAGTTTCCCGTATAAATTCTGGCTCTCTCCATCCAGCCTATTTGTTCATGCTGTTCTTGTGATTTGGGATATTTTTTTTGAATGTTACAGGCTCTAAAATTCATTTGGAAGAGTAAATGTGTGAGAGTAAAAAAAAAAAAAATGCAGAAATGCATTTGATAAAATACAGCATTCGTTTATGATAAAGCTCAATAAAATGAGAATAAAGGGAACATACCTCAACTAAATAAAAGCCCACATATGACAAACACACAGCTAACATCATACTCAACAGGGGAAAGCTAAAAACATTTTCCTTAAGATCAAGAATAAGACACTTTCATCACTGCCGCTGATCAGGAAGCAAACCCTAGTCAGAAACCTGCTCCTAAACTAGAATGATGGTTTTAATGACGACCACCCACAGACAAATGGAGCTGTGGAATACACCCTTAAAAACAGTTACATCTGGCCAAAATAGGTTTAGTTCAGTGGATAGAGCGTAGGTCTGCGGACTGAAAGGTCCCTGGTTCAATTCCAGTCAAGGGCATATACATTGATTGCAAGCATATCCCCAGTAGGGGGTGTGCAGGAGGCAGGTGGTCGATGTTTCTAGTACTCTATCCATCTCCCTTCCTCTCTGTTGAAAATCAATAAAATATATATTTTTTTGAAAAGTTATATCTGATGTGTATTTAGGAAGAATGCTTTTTAGTATCTGTAGGAGATTTTTCTCTTAATTTATTTTTAACATCATTCACTGGGAGCTCCCCATAACATCTGAATAAGAAGTTGAGAGAAAGAGTAGGTCCGCAGGGGCTGGAAGGAGAGACGGAAAATATTTTTCCTTTGCAGTACAGACATCCTCATAGATAAAAAAGTTTCTTAGATACATGAGTTTTGTGGACATTTCGCAGATTACACTCCTAATCATCCAAGTCATAACCTGGCCAGAAACTATCAAGTATAGCTGAAACCGGTTTGGCTCAGTGGATAAAGCATCGGCCTGCAGATAAAGCAAGGTCCCAGATTCTATTCTGGTCAAGGGCATGTACCTTGGTTGCGGGCACATCCCCAGTAGATGGTGTGCAAGAGGCAGCTGATCCATGATTCTCTCTCATGGATGTTTCTAACTCTCTATCCCTCTCTCTTCCTCTCGGTAAGAAATTAATAAAATACATTTTAAAATTTTATAAAAAAGAAAGAAACTACCAAGCATAGCATTGTTGGAGAAACACAATGCAGATCTGCTTTACATTTGAATTCCCCAAAAAATGGTGTCTTCACAGTGGCTAGCAATCAATAGTGGTTCGGTTCGTCGTTTTAACCAGAACCTAAGAACTGGTCTGAGCTTCCTCCAAAGGAAGGTGAGGAACCTTAGGAGACGAGGACTATGGGGAGGTTAGGAGAGGGGAGAGGACGCGGGCCGCGGGCCGCGCGCCTAGGCAGCTCACCTTCACTTGCTCGTAGTAGCTCCCAGTGTGTAGCACCTCGACATCTTTAAACTCCGACTGGCCGCTCTTCAGTCCTCGTAGCAGGTGGTCCTCGAGCTGGTTTACAACCATCGCGGCTTCTGAGATTTCTGTGCGGCGTAGCTTCAACTTCTTCACCACCGCCCCGAGCTTGCAGGCGCCAGGCACGGCCTCCCGCCCGCCCAGACTAGAGGCTGCAGCCAGCGGGTCCTGGCCAGCGTCCTCCGTTGGTCTGGACGGAGGTCTCCGCTCCCCAGCGGAGCGCGCGGATCCAGCCCTGGGAAGGGGCGGCTCGGGAGCCGCGGCCAGCTCCGTGTGCCCGTCGACCGTGTCCTCACTGCTCAGCGGGACCTTGGCGCATGCACCCCCTTTTCGGCGAGATCCAGCCCTGGGAGGGGGCGGCTCGGGAGCCACGGCCAGTTCCGTGTGCCCGTCGACCGTGTCCTCACTACTCAGCAGGGCCTTCTCGGTGCGCGCACCCCCTTTTAGGCGAGATCCAGCCCTGGGAAGGGGCAGCTCGGGATCCGCGGCCGGCTCCGTGTGCCCGTCGACCGTGTCCTCACTGCTCAGCGGGACCTTCTTGGCGCATGCACCCCCTTTTCGGCGAGATCCAGCTCTGGGAAGGGGCGAGTCCAGCTCCTGAGCCAGGCCTACCTGCCCATCCAAGGCAACCTGGGCGCTCAGAGGCGCCTTCTTGGCGCATGCACCGCCTTTTGGGCGAGATCCAGCCCTGGGAAGGGGCGGCCCGGGAGCCGCGACCAGCTCCGTGTGCCCGTCAACCATGTCCTCACTACTCAGCAGGGCCTTCTCGGAGCGCGCACCCCCTTTTCGGCGAGATCCAGCCCTGGGAAGGGGCAGCTCGGGATCCGCGGCCGGCTCCGTGTGCCCGTCAACCATGTCCTCACTACTCAGCAGGGCCTTGTCGGTGCGCGCACCCCCTTTTCGGCGAGATCCAGCCCTGGGAAGGAGCGTCCCGGGATCCGCGGCCGGCTCCGTGTGCCCGTCGACTGTGTCCTCACTGCTCAGCGGGGCCTTCTCGGAGCGCGCACCCCGCGCGCGTCCCTGCGGTCTCTCCCGGGAGCCCGGGGCGCTCTTCCTCTGCTGGTTTCCCGACGCTCCGGTGGAGCTGCATTCCTGCTCATTGGGCTGGGCAGCTTCGGGGACAACGGGACGCTCGATGGGCTTCGCCGGGGTGGGCTTCGCCGGGGTGGGCTTCGCCGGGGTGCGCTTCGCCGGGGCGCCCTTCGCGCTCTGCGCTGAAATCTTGGAGGTGGCGGCTCCCGCCTTGGAAGCTGTCCGCGTCGCCTTTCCGCTCCGAGGATCCATGGCTGGTGCTCTCTGCTGCTGCTGCTGGAAAGTTGACTGGGCTTCGCAGGAAAGGCCGCGGTTAGAGGAACCTGCAGTCACGGCTGGTTACTGGAAATGAAACTTAGAACTTGAAGTCTGGCGGGAAGGCAGCGCCGCGGTCAGGGAGCACGCGCAGGAAATATGACCCCACGCGGGAGGGCAGCCTGGAGCCACGCCCCGCCGCCGCCGGGCGGCCCGCGGTCCTGCAGAGCAGCTCACGTCCCGCTCCAATACTAACCTGAGCAGTACTGACAGCCCCACGCTTTTGCTGGCAAGCCACCTAAAAGAATTGTGGGGAACTACAAGCTTTCTCGCCCATTGAAGTTGACAAATTTTTTTCAATGTAAGTTTAAATAAGGGTACTTTTTAAAATTAATGTGAAATAGTAAATGTTCGTCTTTTACGGGGCTGAGATTATGATTACTGTAATTGTAATAAATATTAATTTTAATTGACTCTTTTTTGGCTGGGTGCAGTGAACTTTTTGATGGTGCATGACAAAGTAGGGCTCCCTAAGCCCCTCCCCTTCTTCAGATGGGGAGATGAAAACTGTGAAAGTCAGGAGATTCTAAGCGTGTTGGGGATCGATTTGGGGCAAGGACTCCCCAGCAGCTGAAGGTCTCTCTTCCTCTGGTTGGGGCTGGTGGTCCAGGGGGGCTCTAACTCCTTGTTGGAGGCCACGTGGACCATTAGGTCTGCAACTTGTTGCTGAAGCCAAATTCAGTGTCATGCCAGGAAATGAGCTTGACAAAGTGGTCGTTGAGAGCAATGCTAGCCCCAGCATCAAAGATGGAGGAGTAGGTGTCACTGTTAAAGTCCCAGGAGACAACCTGGTCCTCAGTATCACCAGGATGCCCTTGAGGGGCCCCTCTGTTTCACTATATCCTTGATGTCATCACATTTAGCAGCTTTCTCCAGGTGGCAGGTCAGATCCACAACTGACACATTGGGGTGGAGGCAGAGAAGGCCATGACAGTGAGCTTACCACGCAGCTCATGAGCTTACCCACAGCCTTGGCAGCACCAGTAGAAGCAGGGAGGATGTTCTGGGCAGCCCCTCGGCTATCACACCACAGCTTTCCAGAGGGGCCATCCCTGGTGTTCTGGGTGGCAGTGATGGCATGGACTGTGGTCATGAGTCTCTCTGCGATGCCAAAGTTGCCATGATGGCCTTGGAAGTTGGTGGGGCAGGAAGCACTGCTGACAGTCTTGAGGGCATTGTCACACTTGTCATGGTTCCTTCCCCTTCACAAACATGGCAGCACCCACAGAAGGGACAGAGACAATGGCCCTCTTGACTCCACCGTTAAAGTGAGCCCCAGCCTTCTCCAAGGTAGTGAACATACTAGCAGACACCACAACAAATTCAGCACCAGCACCAACCATTTGGATCTTGGCGGGACCTCACTCCTAGAAAATGGAGATGGATGACAAGCTTACAGTTCTCAGCCTTTGAACTTACGATGAGTAGAATCATACTGGAACATGTAGACCATGTAGTTGAGGTCAATGAAGGGGTCATTGATGGCAGCAGTATCCCCTTTGCCAGAGTTAAAAGCAGCCCTGGTGACCAGGCCCCAAATACGGCCAAGTCCATTCACGCTGACCTTCATCATTGTGTCTCTGGGTTGCGGCTGGCACTGCGCAGGAGGAGAGGCTGATGAACAGGAGGAGCAGAGAGCCTATCTGACTCTTTAAAAGAACACACAATCTTAAAGAAATTGTGTGAAGTTCTTATTCATGAGTTTTATCCATTGGTTCTTAAAAACCCATTTAAAAAGAAAAAACCTGCACATTTTAAATAATCCATACTGCTTTGGCTGTTCAGCTTCCAGAGTATCTCATTCAATGCAGTATCTCAAAAGTACATTTCTAAATCCAATCCCTTCATATAAATACGTATGAGATAGGAACCCCTTGGGTATAGAAAGACTTGATTACTTCTTTAAAACCATTTTCAAGTCTACAGTTCAGTGACATGAAATACCGCTACCATCCATCTCCAGAACTGTTCATCTTGGAAAACTGAAACTCTGTACCCATTAAACAATTACACCCCATCGCCCGTCTCACCAGCCCTGGCAAACACCCTTCTACTCTGTTTCTATGAATTTGACTACTCTAGGTACCTCCATGGAAGTGGAATCACGCTGTCTTTATGGTTTAATGGCTGGTTTATTTCAATTAAGATAAATGTCCTCAAGGTTTATCCATGCTGTTGCTTATGTCAGCCTTCCTCTTTAAGGCTGAATAATTCCATTCTATGTATATACTACATTTTATTTATTCATTCATCTGCCAATGGATTAAATTTTTAGGAGGATTCCCTGAATCCAGTACTGTGATATATCCTTCTCTTTATTTTTTAAAAAATATATTTTATTGATTTTTTACAGAGAGGAAGGGAGAGAGACAGAGAGTTAGAAATGTCAATGAGAGAGAAACATCGACCAGCTGCCTCCTGCACAACCCCCACTGGAGATGTGCCCGCAACCAATGTACATGCCCTTGACCAGAATCGAACCTGGGACCTTTCAGTCCGCAGACTAACACTCTACCGCTGAGCCAGACCGGTTTCGGTTATCCTTCTCTTTAGTACAAGTGGTTTTCTTACACCCTAGGGCAGTGAGCCCTAGTTTGAATTGTAATATGAAAGATGTTTATTCATGAGTTTTATCCATTTATTTTTTCTTTGTAAAATGGAAGGACTGTTGGGTAGTTAGGCTTGTTTGCAAGCTGACCAATTTTAGGGAAGAATAAACTAGAAGCTGAAATTTGGAAATCCACTTCCTTAAAACTGAAAGTATATTTGGGCAGTCTTCCAGGATGTTCAAGGGTCTGCCTACTCCATTCTGAGGACATTAAGTCCTTAAGAGTCCACTGGTGTTTGCTTAACCAAAAAACATGCAAGCAACAATCCACCAGACCAGAATTAAATACCTCTGCTGCTGACTTGTCAAAGGAGAACTTGTTCCTTACTCAATCTTGTTGCAGCAACCAGTGTCCAGATCATAGAGAGAATGACTTTTCAGTTGTCTAGATATGAATCTTGGACTTTATCTAAAAGAAAAATAATACCAGAGATTCATTTTTTTGTTGATTTATAGAGAGAGTGGAAGAGAGAGAAATACCATTGTGAGGGAAACACATAAATTGGTTGCCTCCCAGACTCGCCCTGACCAGCATCGGGGATGGGGAGGAACCTGATAGTGCCCTCCACTGGAATGGAACCTGGGACCCTCAGGTCCACAGGCCAAACCAGCTAGGGCCCTACTTGATTTACATCTTATCCTTTAATGTTTCATGTTTGTCTCAGTAATTCATTTAGTCACTAATGAAATATTTGAGTGTCTACTATTCTAGGTTCTTGGAATATATTGATAAATAAAGAGCCTTGCCCTCCTGAAGCTTATATTTGGCTTGGGGAAACAGCCAATAAACATATACTAGAAGATGATAAGCTGAATTGAAAAGGGGGAAAGGAGGGTGGGGGCAGGTAATAAGGCCCTGGCTGGGTAACTCAGTTGCTTGGAACATCCTCTCCAAACACCCAGGTGCAGTTTCCACCTTCAGTCAGGGCTAAGGTGACCAGAGGGATAGTCCCGATTTTCAGCGGCGTTTTTAAAAAGTCCCCATTTTTGGAAAGAATGCACGACAAGCTAGGGAACGGCAGGAGAACGGGAAGGGAATATACGGTTTTCGGCAGTCATGTGGCTATTTAGCTAGGATATGAGTTCTATATTGTTTTTGTTAATTTTATAATGTTAAACTTCAATAATAACAAATAATTGTTGAGAACTGATTATTGAGAACTGCTTATCAAAGTGCACATTGTTGATCAGTTGTTAGAATTGTGGAATACACGCTGTCCTTACAGGAACTAATGCTGCGAATGAACGCATTTTTTCTACGGCAAATAAAGTGTGGACATCAGAAAAATCACAATTAAGTGTTGAGACTTTGAAAGCCATTTTATGTGTGAAATATAACAAATTCTTGTGAAAAATTTGATGACCTTTTAAACAACGACAGCAATCTACTTTAAAAAAATCACTCAAATGAGAACTATGCCAAAGAATAAAATAATACTATACATAGTTTTTTATTTATTATATTTATAAATTGTACTTACGTTGAAATTTAAAAATATATTTTTGCGTTCTATGAATATTTTTGTTGCTCCATATAGACCAAATTTTTAATTAAGAACCCCAACTCCCACCCCCGTCAATAGTGTCCCGCTTAACCAATGTTAAAATCTGGTCACCTTAGGGCACATTTAAGAAAGTATCAGCCGAAACAGGTTTGGCTCAGTGGATAGAGCGTTGGTCTGTGGACTGAAAGGTCCCAGGTTCAATTCCAGTCAAGGGCATGTACCTTGGTTGCGGGCACATCCCCAGTAGGAGATGTGCAAGAGGCAGCTAACGGATGATTCTCTCTCATAGATGTTTCTAACCCTCTATCCCTCTCTCCTCCTCTCTGTAAAAAATAAAAATTAAAAACAACAACAACAAACAAACAAGCAAAAAAAACAATAAAATATTTTTTAAAAAAAGAAAGTATCAATGAGGGCCTAAAAAAACGCAACAATAAACCAAAGTCTCTGACTCCAGAGCCACGGGGACGTCAAACAACCTGCACGGCCCACGACCCCGGTGCGCGGCCCACGCACCACCAGTGTCTGGGAGCGGGTCTAGTCGCGTCGCGACAACCGCCAATCAGCGGCGACGCTGGACGGAGACGCGCTGCGCCGTGACGTCAGAGCCAGGCGGCTGCGCCCCGAAGATTCCCTCCGGTGCCCTTTACGGTTGCAAGTTGCTCGAGTCTGGTTTGGAGTCAGGCGAGCTCTGCCGCCTCCAACCATGTTCTCTCTCCGAGGCTGCGGGCGCCGGGTCGCCGCCTCCCTCGCCCAGCAGCACCTCCCGCCGCCGGCCCGGCTCAGCGGCGACAGCGCTGCGCCCGGGACCCCGCGCTACGACGTGGTGGTCGTGGGCGGCGGGCACGCGGGCACGGAGGCGGCCGCGGCGGCCGCGCGGTGCGGCTCCCGGACTCTGCTCCTCACGCACCGGGTGGACACGATCGGTGAGCGGCAGCCGCTGTGGAGCTCGGCGTAGGACGCAGGTTGCGAATAATCAGTCCCCCTCTCCCCCTCCCAGTGCCTGCGGTGGGCCCTGTTCCCTCCCCCCAGGCCGGGGGGGGGGGGGATCCTGGGGTCGGTGGTTTTGGCCCGGCGGGTCCCGGCGGGTCAGGACTCTGGCTTAGGCTCTGCCGGGACCACGGGTTGCGCTGCCGCCGACAGAAACAGCAGCTTGGAGGATGTGGGGGGCGGTGCCTTGGGAAAGGGGGAAACTGAGAGTATTCTACTTCGCTGATAGCTTCTGATTTCATTGCCGTTTAGCCTTTACTAGCTTGTTGCTTTGGCTAAAGAGGAAATTAACATGATTAGTGATCGTTTACAAATGACCGCTGTGTTTTTTTTCTCAAAACGTTAAGTCCTTTTGAAGAAGGATGATACCTTTTGTTGACATTCTGTGTTTCTGCTGGATGTTTGTTCCCCCGTTTTGTGATTGGTTCCCTCCCGTACCTGCCCTGACCAGGGCGGGGGATAGAGCCTTCCACTGAGGTACATGCTCTTGATCAGAATGGAACCCAGAACCCATGAGTCCACAGGCCAATTCTCTAATGCACAGAGCTAAATCGGCTAGGCCTAATCCATCCATCCATCCATCCCTCCCTCCCTCCCTCCTTCCCTCCCTCTCTCTTTCTCTCTCTCTCTCTCTCTCTCTCTCTCTCTCTCTCTCTCTCTCTATATATATATATATATATATATATATATATATATAGATTGATTGATTGATTGATTTTAGAGAGGAAGGGAGAGGGAAAGAGAGATACAAACATCAATGATGAGAGAGAATCATTGATTGGCTGCTTCCTGCACATCCAGCCTGCAAACAGGCATGTGCCAGTGACCAGAATCGATCCTGGGACTCTTCAGGTGTGTCCTAATTCATGCACTGGGCCTTTAATATATAATTCCCGGTGCTTGAATTCGTGCATGGATGGGGTCCAGACAGCCTGGCCAGGAGAAGGGGACATGGGCAGTTAGCCAGCCTGCCTACTAATCGAACTCCTGGTGGAGGGGACAATTTGCATATTAGCCTATTATTATATAGGCTATACACTGAGTGGCCAGATTATTATGTGTTCAGAGATCATAATAATCTGGCCACTCAGTGTATGTACAACTCTCCTGGGATAATGGCTGGCCCATGTTAAGTGGTCAGTTGTTAACTGTTGTTTTACCATCAGCTTTTCTACATAGCTGACTTAAATTTTTTAGTACAGTGAAAAATTTACTGATTTATACATTTCTACTACCACTGCCCACCTCAGGTACTGGTGCCACACTTGGGATGTTAGTAGCTTCTATTTAAGAGCCCAGATGATCACTAGATCTTATTCCAACTCCAAATGATTGGGAATGAATGCTGGCTTCCTGGCATTCTCTGCTGTGAAAAATTTTGAGGACTAAGCAAAAGAGAGTGACATGTTCAACTTTTATGCCTATAAGGAGAGAAGCTCCTTGTAGGCATGTATTTCTTTGAGAAAAAGTTTTCAGCAGTTTAAAAAGATGAGGATTTCTTTGCATTTGACCTTCACAAATGTAAATTTTATAAATAGGCTTGTAATATAGTTACACTCATTTAATAAAGGGCCTAGAAGTTGTCTAGTTTAGGGCTATAAAAGAGTAGTGGAGCTAAGCCATTGTGGCTCAGTGGTTGCACATCAACCTATGAAACAGGAGGTCAAGGTTCCATCCCAATCAGGACATATGCTTAGGTTGCAGGCTTGATCCCCATTGTGGGACATGCAGGAGGCAGCCGATCAATGATTCTCTCTCATCATTGATGTTTCAGTCTGTCTCTACATCTTCCTTCTCTGAAATAAATAAATGTATATTTTTTAAAAAAGAAAGTAGTGGAATTTCAATAATTTTTGGTGTTTTAAGTGTTCTGTTTTTTCCCTTTTCTGTGTATGAGGAGACTCATTTCTGGGGGTCAAAGTTTAAGAAAATGTCAGAAATTAGTGGGGTTCAGAAATTTTTGTAAAATTAACTGATATATAATGGATATTAAAAGCTACATCATTATCCCTGGCCCAGTTGCTCAGTAAGTTAGAGCATCATCCCTGATACACTAAGGTTGTGTTTGATTCCCAGACAGGGCACAATGCATAAATAAGTGGAACAACAAATTGATATCTATCACTCTCTCTCTTCCTCTCTCTGTTTCTCTTTCTCTCCCTTCCTCTCTCAAATTAATTTAAAAAAATAAGTCATTTTGATGAGTAGCAATATCCAGACCTTCAAATAAGACTAGGAAATTTTAAAGAAGAGATATAAAATGTATTTACTTTGAGGAAACTTATAATTTAATTATTTCTGCAAAAAAAGAAAATAGAGATGGCATTTATAGAAAACATAATTGATATAACAGTGAACCACTCCCAAGATTACTTCAAAGTATTCTTGATTTGGAAAGGTTTCATAAGGTAAAGATTTCAAAAACCATAATTTAAAGGAAAAGGCAAACTAATGAAATAAAATATGCATCAAAGAAAAGATTGAAAGGATACTACAGGCAAAGGTTTGTCTTCCAGATTGCTTGAATTGTGCCCTACTGGGACTTTGGAATTGTCTTTTTAGTGTTTGTTTCAACTCTCTTATTTTTTATCACATGAGCTGATTCTAGCCACTTGTACAAACAATTTTCTATTGCACTCACTACCGTATTGCAAAGTGCTCATAAATTTATTTTGTCTGTTTTCTTTAGGTCAGATGTCCTGTAATCCTTCCTTTGGTGGTATCGGAAAGGGGCATTTAATGAGGGAAGTGGATGCTTTGGATGGCTTGTGTTCCCGAATCTGTGACCAGTCTGGTATACATTACAAAGTATTAAACCGGCGTAAGGGACCAGCTGTTTGGGGTCTGAGAGCTCAAATTGATAGGAAACTCTATAAACAGAACATGCAGGTGAGAAAAGGCACGAAAGCAGGAGAGATAGTAGTGAACGTTTAACTGTTGTTTCAACTTGCACTCTCTTTTGACAGAAAGAAATCCTAAATACACCACTGCTTACTGTTCAGGAGGGAGCTGTAGAAGATCTTATACTTACAGAACCAGAACCTGAGCACACTGGGAAATGCCGCGTCAGTGGTGTTGTTTTGGGTATGTACTAGTTATAGATGATAATAACAGTATCAGACTCTCTGTAAGCAATTTATTTTAGAGCAGAATATGGGGATATTTACTTTTCTAGGAGATTGTTGTGTTTTCTCTTCATGAATGAGGAAAACTATAAAAAGATCAGAATTCTTTCATTTTGGCATTTGTGAAGCTTAGTCAAATTATGGGCTCATCTGTACCACCTGTAGGACTTTAGCCTGAATAATTGAGTCTTTTTTCTCCTGTTTTTTTTTTTTCTGTTGTACTTTTTATTTTTTCTAGTTCTGATCTTAAATCTTTAAAGCTTATATTTATAAGATTATTATATGTTTTATATTTAAAAGGGTTACGTATTAATTTTTTAATCAAAATATCACATGCACCTAACTTTTATAAAAATCAAGTAGAATTTAAAAATGTGTATAGCCCCTAACTGGTTTGGCTCAGTGGATAAAGCATCAGCCTGCAGACTGAAGTTCCCATGTTCGATTCCAGTTAAGGGCACATGTCTGGGTTGCGGGCAAGATCCTTAGTTGGGGGTGTGCAGGAGGCAGATGATCAATGATTCTCATCATTAATGTTTCTCTCCCTCTCCCTTCTTCTCTGAAATAAATAAAAAATATTTTTTAAAAAATATATTTTTTTAAATAATGAGAGATGCCGAAACCGGTTTGGCTCAGTGGATAGAGCATCGGCCTGCGGACTGAAGGGTCCTGGCTTCGATTCCGGTCAAGGGCATGTACATTGGTTGCAGGCACACCCCCGGTGGGGGATGTGCAGGAGGCAGTTGGTCTATGTCTCTCTCTCATCGATGTTTCTAGCTCTCTATCTCTCTCCCTTCCTCTCTATAAAAAATCAATAAAATATATTTTAAAAATTCTTTAAAAAAATGATGAGAGGAACTGTGCTGGAGAATCTCAACATTTACAATACAAATCTTGAGACTGGCTGGTATAGCTCAGTGGTTGAGCATTATTAGCCTATGAACCAGGAGGTCACAGTTCTAATACGCGATCAGGGCACATGCCCAGTTTTGGGCTTGTTTCCTAGTAGGGGGCATGCAGGAGGCATTGATCAATGATTCTCTCTCATCATTGATGTTTCTATCTCTCCCTCTTCCTTTCTCTCTGAAATCCATAAAAATATAATTAAAATTCAGATCTTGACTTAATTTCCCTATTATAAAATTTCAGATTTATTAATTTTTTAAAATGCGGAATACATATATATACAGTAAACAGTTTAAAGGGGACAAAAGAACATAGTGTGAAAAGGTGGTCTCTCTCTCATCTGTCCCCCAGCCAATCAGTTCTTCAGGGGCATTGCTAAGTGTCTTGGGTAGTCTTTCTATCTGTGAATATATAATACATGTATCTTCGTGTGTGTGTGTGTGTGTGTGTGTGTATGTTTCACATAACAGCATGTTATATACACTGACCTGTACTTTTTTAAAAAACACAGTCTGTGTTTGCTTTGCATCTGGGAACTATGTTTCTTTTTTAGAAGCTTGTATTTTTGTTCTGGTGATTATTTTAATAACTATAATTTTATATACTAAATCTTTTCTTTCTTCTGTCAGTGTTTGTTGACTTTCCACTATGAGTAATTTATTTACCTTTTCTCTCCTGTTTTCTATCCTCTGCAAATTTAATGATTACATTATTTTTGTTAGTATAGACCTTATACCTTTATTTATGTTTTTATTACTTAATTTCCTATCTTTAAATGCTATTTTTTAACCTGTCTATTTTATAGGCTTAATAATAGAACTTTTTTTTTTAATCTGCAACACAGATTTCTAGTTTCAGAAGAACACCTAGTATATAATGAATGAATCAAGACCACACATTTTAAAATTTCAGAACACCAGAGACACTTACAAGATCCTAGAAGCTTTCAGGAAGGGGGGGGGGGGGGGGGGGCCGGGGTCATATACAAAAAAAAAATTAAGTAAATATGCACTAATCTTCTTCACAGTAAAACTGGAAACTAGAAAATGGAGCAAGACTAAAAATTCTCGGGAAAAAATATGATTTAAACTAGAATTCTATTCTCAGCCAAATTAAGAGTCAAGTTTAAGGGGAGAATAATACATTTATAGATATACAAGGACTCACAAAACCTACTTCCCATGCATCTTTTCTTAGGAAGCTACTAAAAGATATAGTCCAGCAAAATGAGGAAGTAAACATAACATAAAATTTGCCTTTTTAAAAATATATGTGTATTTAATGATTTTTAAAGAGAGAGGAAGGGAGTGAGATAGAGAGATAAAAACATCTATGAGAGAGGAACATCATTAATTGTCTGCCTCTTGCACATCCACCTCTTGGTTCCTGGTTGACAATCAACCTCTGAGCCATACTGGAAGGGTCTGCCTTTTTTTAAAAAAAAATCCTTACCTTAGAACATGCTTAAAGAGAGGAAAGTGGGGGTAGGGAGATGGAGAAAGACATCAGTGTGAGAGAGAAAAATTGATTGGTTGCCTCCCATATGTGCCCCAACCAGGGATTGAACCCACAACCTAGGTATGTGCCCTGTCTGGGAATTGACCCAAGAACCTTTTAATGCACAGGACAATACCCAACCAATTGATTCACTCCAGCTGGGTATTTTAGCCATTTTTAAGTGTACAATTGAGTGTCGTTAAGTCCATCCACAATATTATACAACTATCACCACTATCTATTTCCCGAACTTTTTGAACTTTCTCATCATCCTAAATTGAAACTATTTCTATTGCTGGCACCAGTTTGGCTCAGTGGTAGAGCGTCGGTCTGCGGACTGAAAGGTCCCGGGTTCGATTCCGGTCAAGGGCATGTACCTTGGTTGCGGGCACATCCCCACTAGGGGGTGTGCAAGAGGCAGCTGGTTGATGATTCTTTCTCATCGACGTTTCTGGCTCTCTATCCCTCTCTCTTCCTCTCTGTGAAAAATCAATAAAAATATATTTAAAAAAAAAAAAAAAGAAAGAAACTATTTCTATTAAACAGTAACTCCCCATTGCCCAAAGAATAAACCTAAATTTTCTTGTAAGGAATTGTGTGTGGATATAACCTTTATGTGTAGATTCCATCTATTTCTCTTTATTTCAGCCCTAAGCTTCATTCCTACATTCCTCAGTTCTCCCTTTTCCTGGGCTTTGTAGGGCTAATTAGTTCATCCTCATTGGTGTATTCTCTTCAGATTCTTGATTTACAGTCTTCTCCCATTTGCTAGGTCATTTATCACTTTTCCAACCACTTTCTTTCTGTCTTCTAAAAATATTTTGAAAGTCTCATCTTTTGACAAGTCTCTCCCACTCATTGTCTTTGTGGTTTTATACCCTTTTGCCCCTTTATTTCATTTTCTTGAAGTTTCAGAAGGAAGAAGGAATTATATGAGGTAGTCTATAAGATTTACTGTTAACCAGAAGTCTTACATTAATTGATTTTTAAAATCAATTGATTTAATCTTTTTCAGTGCTGGTATAATTTTAGAAACATGTGAATAGATGATATAATAGTACATTATGTTCTCCCTCCCAACTTTCTTGGATTCTAGAGATTGATAATATGTAGCCTTCTTTCTCATTTGAAATTATTTCTCAAATTTCTAAAGAGAAAGTTTTTCTGTAGTTCTAATGTAGTCACATTTCAGTTTGATCCATAGTAACAATTAAAACTTGATTTTTACTGTCTTTCCTATCCTTTAGTGGATGGAAGCAAAGTATATGCAGACAGCGTGATTCTGACGGCTGGGACATTTCTGAGAGGCATGATTGTAATTGGATTGGAGATGCATCCGGCAGGACGTTTAGGAGACCAGCCTTCCATTGGGTTGGCTCAGACTCTAGAGAAGTTGGGGTTTGTGGTGGGAAGATTGAAGACTGGGACTCCACCCCGAATTGCCAAAGACTCCATTAATTTCAGCATTCTAAACAAGCATACACCAGATAATCCATCCATACCATTCAGCTTTATTAATGAAACAGTGTGGATTAAGGTAAGATAATTATGAAAATCTGGCTTTACAGATAAATATTGGTCATTCACAGAAGGATACAGTAGGTCCTCGGGTTACGTCGGAGATTAGTTCCTACAGTTTCTATGGTTCCTACGGCACGATGTAACGCAGTTTTCGCCGTAAGTTGGAACCCACCCACATAAGTACCTACATCACTCACATGGAGCACATACAGAGCAGTAATGAAGTGAAACATTAAAAAAATTTAAAAGATGCCCTGGCTGATTTGGCTCAGTGTATAGAGGGTCCCAGGTTCGATTCCGGTCAAGGGCGTGTACCTTGGTTGCAGGCACATCCCCAGTAGGTGGTGTGCAGGAGGCAGCTGATTGATATTTCTCTTTCATCAATGTTTCTAAATCTCTATTCCTCTCCCTTCCTCTCTGTAAAAAAGAAATAAAATATATATTTAAAAAAATTTTTTTAAAGATAACAATTCCTGACCTTACTTGTGATAAATAAATAATAACATGAAGCATATATGAACATACGTCAAAATGATGGAATTTTTTTTTTTTTTTTAATAAATGGAGATGGCAACGTAGCCACAAAATGACATACATCAAGTCCGACATGACTCGAGGACTGACTGTATAGTCTAACACATCCTTCCTCTCTTTCTTTTGTGATCTCTCTTTCTCTCTCGTAGTAGCAATGCACTTTATATCACTATTACTTAATGCAAAAAAAAGGGGGGATCTTTTAAAGGATTAGTTAATTTGGCTGATTGGGTCATTTTCCCATATGTTCTTAAGTTATTACTTCAATAACTTTGCCTATTTAAACTTTTTTTTTAATAAAGGACCTGGTGCTCTTTTTTTTATTTTTTATTTTTTAAATATATATTTTTATTGATTTTGTACAGAGAGGAAGGAGAGAGATACAGAGTTAGAAACATCAATGAGAGAGAGTCATCGATCAGCTGCCTCTTGCACACCCCCTACTGGGGATATGCCCACAACCAAGGTACATGCCCTTGACCAGAATCGAACCCGAGACCCTTCAGTCCCCAAGCCGACACTCTATCCACTGAGTCAAACCGGTTTCGGCTCTATTTAAATTTTTTGAAACAATCTCATACCTATAGAAAAATTGCAAGGCAACTAGAACAATCTCCTATAAACCATTGAAATTCATCCACTTTAATAATTTGTCATATTTCTTTCTCTCTAGATATATACCTATAGGTATACATAGTATAAAATAGTAGATTACACATTCATACGTTTTTTGTTGTTGTTGCTGCTCTCCCTCCCCCAACACATGCTCAGGCACATGCACCATGCACACTCAGAGCCTTCCATTGCTCCACTATCCTATCGACATCCTGTATCAGAATTGTGTGTTGGTCACAGTCCAAAAATCTGCATCGATACATCATGATCACACAGAGGGTCCAGAGTTTACGTCTGCATTCACTCTCTGTGGGTGTCGTACAGTCTATGGATTTTGACAAATGTATCTATCGATATCTCACCAGTACACATTCATTCTGACGCTTCTTTTTTGTCTGATACATTTGAGAGCAAATTGCAAAGATCATGACCCTTTACCCCTAAATACTTCAGTCTGTATCTCAACTAAACACAAAAACATCCTCTTATAGAACCTCAATTCAGTGATAAAATTTGGGGAATGTAACATTGATTCAATAGTGTTATCCTATATAATAAAAGGCTAATATGCAAATTGTCCCCCCCCCGACCTGGAGTTTGACCAGGAGTTCAACTGGGAGTTTGACCAGGGGGCAGGGCCAGCCAGCCAACTGCCTGTGGCCCCTCTTCCTGGCCAGCCAGCTGGCCTGATAGCCCCGATCGGGGCAGGCTGGCCAGACCCACCTGTGTACAAATTTGTGTACCAGGCCTCTAGTCTAATGTTATGTTCAGAGTCAGATTTTACTGATTATCCCAATATTGTTCTTTAATAGCAATCATTTTTTTCCCAATCTAGGATCATATATTATATTTAATCATTTCCCTTTTAAAAAAAATTTTTTTTATGATTTCAGAGAGGAAGGGAGAAAGGAGAGAGATAGAACATTAATGATGAGAGAGAATCATTGATTGGTTGCCCCTTGCTTGCCCCCCCACTGGGGATCAAGCCCATAACCTGGGCGTTGCCCTTGGCCGGATTCAAACCTGAGACTCTTCAGTCTGCAGGCTGATGCTCTATCCACTGAGCCAAACTGGTTAGGGCCATCATTTTTCTTTCATCTGAAATAATTATTCAGTCTTGTACAATACTGACATTTTTTAAGAGTATGGGTTACTTTTGCCTTGTCTTTTGAATATTAAAAAAAATAGTATATTGTGTTTTTAGAATTGAGGACTAATAATAATGGTTCTAGTTTCTTGTGTTATCCTAATGAGTGGCTTCAAATATTGTTGTGTGTGTTTTTTTCTTTTTTGAAAACTCACTTTTACATTTTTGCTTTGGGAAAATATAAATTGTGATACTACTTTCTTGGAATATGTATTTCAAAACTTTTATTATAAAATTTAAGTTTATAGAGAATAGAAGAAATACCGTGTTTCCCCCAAAATAAGACATCCTCCGAAAATAGGATCTAGCGCATCTTTGGGAGCAAAAATTAATATAAGACACTGTCTTATTTTCGGGGAAACAGGGTAGTATAATGAATCTGTGTGTCCATCACCCAGCTTCAACAAATAACTTTTTTTGGCATTCTTGTTTTATCTTCCCTTAATACTTTCTTCTTGCTGATTTTCATCAACAATCTCATCATTTCACTTATAAATGCTTCGTTATATATCTTTAACAGATAAAAATGTTATAAGAATTAACCATAGTATTATTATCACATCCAGCAAAAACATCATTTCTTAACATCATCCAATATTATGTGTGCAGTCTATTTGAATAAGAAGCAAACTAGTAAAGAGGCAAAAGTGTTATAACTAATTCATGTGTTTTAGCCAGAAGATCAGCTGCCGTGTTACTTGACTCACACCAACCCTAGAGTGGATGAGATTATCCTTGAGAACCTGCATCTTAATAGTCACATTAAGGAAACTACAAAAGGACCCCGGTAAGGAGAAAGTGCCACTGCTCAGTTACTTTAAGAAATGATGCCAGCCTCTTTCATTTGTTCAATTAAATTTTTTAATTTCAATGTCCTTTTCTAGATACTGTCCTTCCATTGAATCAAAGGTTTTGCGTTTTCCAAACCGTTTACATCAGGTTTGGTTGGAACCTGAAGGAATAGATTCTGACCTCATCTACCCCCAAGGGTTATCTGTGACGCTGCCAGCTGAATTACAGGAGAAGATGATCACATGCATCAGAGGCTTGGAGAAAGCTAAAATGATGGAGCCAGGTAAAGAGAATCACAGCCGCCCTTCAGTAGGAGCTCAGCATCATCTTAGCAGATAATGAGGAGGTCGTAACTGCAGTCAGGGCTGCTTAGAGCCTCAGAAGACAAAGCCCAACAACTTGACATTTAAAATAGTCTTCATTTTTTTTCTTTTATTGTTTAAAGTATTACAAATAGTAATATTTTATGTCTCCTTTTTTCCCCATTGAGTTCCACCCAGCCTCCCCTACCCTCCAGCACATGCCTTCCCCCATACCCCCTCAGTGTCTGTGTCCATTTTTGAATAGCATTTAATGATAATATTTGCACCTCTACCTTGAGGCAAGTCCAGCTCTGTTTTTACTTACTTTGTACCGTTTGTTCTTTGGTCAGGCTATGGTGTTCAATATGATTACTTAGACCCCCGTCAGATCACTCCTTCTCTTGAGACTCATTTGGTGCAACGGCTCTTCTTCGCTGGACAGATAAATGGCACTACTGGTTATGAGGAAGCTGCGGCTCAAGTAAGAGTTTGTTCAAATGTTAATGTAAACAGAAAGGGACTATTTACCGGTGTTCCTCCTTTTAATGTCTGTTACGATAATTATATAGATCTTAGATACAATGCATAACTAATAGAAGACATTTCGGGTTATATGGAGATGGTTATTGTATACAATAGGATTTTTAAAAAAAAACACTTGTGGCTTTATTATTTTTTTAAAATAACTTTACTAAATTGATCATATATTATTATTAAGTGGGAAGTTTTATTCTTTTTATAAGTGGGAAAAGGCTAGAAAAGTTTTTAGGCATGTATTGAATGAATCATAGCATTGTAAAGAGGTATGTAACCCATATTCTGTTTTTAAATAAGGTTCAGATTTTCTACCTCTAGTCTATCCATTCTGGGCAGTGCCTGCTATTTTACTAGGTAGTGTTCTGAACAGGACAGCTATTTATCAGTTCATAATGGCCTTTTAAACATTTCAGTCCTCTTGTAGGGTGTCATAGCTGGAATCAATGCAAGTCTTCGAGTCAGACGCAAGCCTCCTTTTGTCGTTAGCCGAACAGAAGGCTACATAGGAGTCCTGATTGATGACCTCACCACACAGGGCACCAACGAACCATACCGAATGTTTACCAGCCGAGCAGAGTTCCGTTTGTCACTGCGCCCTGATAATGCTGACAGCCGCCTCACTTTCCGAGGTAACTCTTCACTGAGTCTGCCAACCAGGTTTACTCTTCTCTCAGACCTCTCTCATCATGTTCTCTTCTGCCTTCTTCTAGGGTATAAGGAAGCTGGCTGTGTGTCCCAACAAAGATATGAAAGAGCTTCTTGGATGAAGTCTTCTCTAGAAGAAGGCATTTCTCTGTTAAAATCCATTGAGTTTTCAAGTTCTAAATGGAAAAAGTTAATCCCAGAGGCTTCTATAAGTATGGGTAAAGTTGTGTCTATCAGGTATGCATTTTTAATATCAGTTACAGAACTTACAAATTACAGAATTTATAAAAAAAAAAAAAACAACAACAAAAAAAACCGAGATCAGCCTAGACTGGTTTGGCTCAATGAATAGAGTGTTGGCTTGGGGACTGAAGGGACCCGGGTTCGATTCCGGTCAAGGGCATGTACCTTGGTTGCGGGCATATCCCCAGTAGGGGGTGTGCAAGAGGCAGCTGATGGATGACTCTCTCTCATCGATGTTTCTAGCTCTCTATCTCTCTCCCTTCCTCTCTGTACAAAATCAATAAAATATATTAAAAAACAAAAACAAAAAACAAACAAAAAAAACGAGATCATTTCACAGAGACATTAAAGACTCCCTACTTATTTTTTTTTAATTTATCTTTATTGTTAAAAGTATTACATATGTCCCTTGTTTGTCCCCTCCTCCCTCCTCTTGCCTCCTCCCCAGGCCTTCAGCATGGGTTATGAACATATGCCTATATGTTCTTTGGTTCATCTCTTCCTTCCCCCTCCCACTTCCCTCTGAGAATTGTCAGTCTGTTACATGCTTCCATGTCTCTGGGTCTGTTTTGTTTTTCAGTTTATTTTGTTCATGAGAATCCACTTATAAGTGAGATTATGTGATATTTGACATATTTCACTTAACATAATAGTTTCTAGGTTCCTCCATGTTGTCTCAAAGGGTAAGATATCCTTCTTTACAGATGCGTAGTATTCCATTGTGTAAATGTACCACAGCTTTCTTATCCACTCATCTACTGATGGACAGTTGGGATGTTTTCTAGATCTTAGCTTCCATGAACAGAGGGGTGTATATATTCTTTCTGAATGGTGTTTTGGGATTCTTAGGATATATTCCCACAAGTGGGATCACTGGATTAAATGGCAGATCCATTTTTAGTTTTTTGAGAAACCTCTATTCTGATTTCCACAGTGGCTGCACCAGTCTGCATTTGTACCAGCAGTGTACTAGGATTCCCATTTCTCCACATCCTCACCAGTACTTGTTGTTTGTTGATTTATTGATTAGTAGCCATTCTGGCAGGTATGAAGTGATAGCTCATTGTCACTTTTATTTGCCTCTCCCTGATGATAGTGACTTTGAGCATTTTTTCATGTGTCTATTAGCCATCTGTATGTCCTCTTTGGAGAAATGTCTATTCAGGTCATTTGTCCATTTTTTAATTAGACTGTTTGTCTTCCTAGTGTTGAGGTGTATGGGTTCTTAGTATATTTTGGAAATTAAACCCTTATCAGATGTATTATTGGGAGTATGTTTTCCCATACATTGGGCTCCCTTCTCATCTTGTTGATAGCTTCTTTTGTTGTACAGAAGCTTTTTAGTTTGTTGTAGTCCCATTTGTTAATTTTTTCTTTTGTTTCTCTTGCTCTAGGCAATGTATCGGTAAAAATGAGATTTTACTATCTATGTTTTCTTCTAGGATTTTTATGGTTTCATGTTTTACATTTATGTCTTTTATCCAATCTGAGTTTGTTCTTGTGTATGGTGTAAGTTGGTGGTCTAGTTTGTTTTGTTTTGGTTTTTATGTACCTGTTCAATTTTCCCAACACCATTTATTGAAGAGATTATCTTTATTTCATTGTATGCTTTTACCTTCTTTGTCAAATATTAATTGGTTATGTTGTCATGGGTCAATTTCTAAGATTTCTATTCTGTGACAGCACCAGGCTCTTTTGATTACAGTAGCTTTGTAGTATATTTTGATATCTGGTATTGTGATCCCTCTAACTTTGTTCTTTCTCAAGACTTCTGTGGCTATTAAGGTTCTTTTTTTTTTATTATTATTGTAAGTATTTGGAATATTTGTTCTAGATCCGTGAAATATGCCATTGACATTTTAATCAGGATTGCATTGAATCTGTAGATTGCTCTGGGTAATATGGACATTTTAATTATGTTAATTCTTCCAGTTTATGAACACGGTGTATGCTTCCATTTTTTGGGGTCTTCCTCTCTTTCCTTTTCATTGTCCTAAATTCTTCCAAGTATAGGTATTTTACCTCCTTGGTTAAATTTATTCCCAAGTATGTTATCTTTTTGTTGTTGCAATGGTAAATGAGATTTTTTTTTTTTTTAGTTTTTCTGAGGATTCATTATTGGTGTATAAAAATGCTATCGATTTATGGATGTTAATTTTGTATCCTGCTACTTTGCCAAATTGGTTTAGTAAATCTGACAGTTTTTTGTAGAGGTTTTTAAGGTTTTCTGTGTGTGGTATCATGTCATCTGTGAATAATGAGTATTACTTTCTCCTTTCCAATTTGGATGCCTTTTATTTCTCTTGTCTGATTGCTGTGACAAGGACTTGTAATACTATGTTGAATGAGAGTGATGGAAGCAGACATCCTTGTCTTGTTCATCATCTTAGGGAAATGCTTTTAGTTTTTGCCCATTGAGTATGAGGTTGGCTGTTAAACAGATTTTTAATTATAGTAACAGTAATTATTAAATAACATGCATAGTAGTCACCCAAATCAAAGACATTCACAGGAATGACAGCTTGATTCACAAATAAGGTTGATGATATATTTGTTTACCAGCTAAGTGGCACTGACAGATAGTAGTATAAACATAGTTCATAATTGTAATTTACTCAATTTTATGACTGTTTGTTTAAATTTAGGAAGTTATACATTATTTCAAATTTATATAATTAGAAGTTGCATTAAATATGACTAATATGTTTGAGGTCATAGTGAAAGCAAGGGAGCGATTGTTTTCAACTCAGTTTAAAATGCTAATTGATGATAAGAAGATGTAAAAGGAAGCTACATTTTTACCTTTATCCAACAAATCTTATGATTAAGGTGATTTTTAAAAAAAAAGGTATTATAATTTGGCCAAATGCTTTCCTTTTCAATTTTGTTCTTTCCCTTAAGGAGGAAGCAGGGTCCCAGTGCCCCGTATTTGATTTCAGCAGAATATTGATAGCCTAGCATTCAGCTCTCTAAATTAATTTACTTCTTTTTCACTTACTGTTTTTTTATATTAAAAATTTATATTTTGATTATGTTGACATTTAATATCCTAAATGAACTCACTTTATCAATCCTCAGTAAATAAAACTAAAAAGATAGAAAGTTGGTCAAAATACTTTGATTGCTTTTACTGCATACATGCCAGGCTCTGTGCTGAGCACTGACAAGTTGAACCAGACTTTGAGCAGGCATTTTTTCTTTTAATTGATTTCAGAGAGAAAGGAGAAGAGAGAGAGAGATCAAAGATGAGAGAAATCATTGATCAACTGCTTCCCGCACGCTCCTCACTGGGGATTGAGCCTACAAACGAGGCGTGAGTTCTGACCAGGAATCAAACCTTCTGGTTCATAAGTTGATGCTCAACCACTGAGCCACACCAGCTGGGTTGAGCAGGCACTTTAACCAGAGAGATACACAAATGCATGTGCACATTCATTTCTTGTCAAGATTACACAGAAACCTATTAATGAGTTAGGTGGCTCAGAAGTTCTCTTTTCTTCTGTTGAAGTGTGCCAGACCTCTGTACTCTGAGGCTTAGGCTTGACTCAGAGTATGTCCTTAAGTGTAGACCTGTGAACCAAGCCTTGTAAACAAAGGGTTATTATTTTTTTTAATAAGTTAGATGGTCAAGGTTTTTTTTGTTTGTTTGTTTGTTTTTTAAAGATAAGCATATCCAAAGCAGACTTTTTTTTTTCTTTAATATATTTTATTGATTTTTTTTTAAAGAGAAGGATAGAGAGTTAGAAACATCGATGAGAGAGAATCATCGATCAGCTGCCTCTTGCACACCCCCTACTGGGTATGTGCCCGCAACCAAGGTATATGCCCTTGATCAGAATCAAAATAGAGCAGGCGACACTCTATTCACTGAGCCAAACTGGTTTCGGCGGTCAAGGATTTTTCTTTGGGGTCACAATCCTACTTGATTCCAAAGTAACTCTTTTTTTGGGTTAGTCATTAGGAAGTGCATTCCATTTTTATCTATCTATATATATAAAAGCCTAGGTGACCATTTTGTCTGGCCCATAGCTATGACATGCACTGACCACCAAGGAGCAGGCGCTCAACACAGTTCGCTCCCACAGCTAACCTCCTGCGGCCGGCCAACCTCCCACAGTCTCTTCCCCTTGGCTGGCCAACCCCAATGGGCCCCAACTGGGCAAGATAGCCCCAAGATTGCCAGCCAGGCCGAGGGACCCCACCCATACACGAATTCGTGCACCGGGCCTCTAGTGTTCTATAATTTCTCAAATTGATAACCATTACCCTTTTGGAGCATCTGGTTCTATAGCTTCAGTGTAGCTTATCTGCTGAGGCCTCTGTAATTAGTTGTCCAGTCCCTTGTGAAGACAGAATTTCTGGACTTTCCTAGAGCAGGGTTCCTGAGGGATAGATGAGTCAGACATCTGCAAAAGGTGGTAATGCATGACTGTGATAATAGAATGGACTTAAAGAAGGTTGGTAGGAAGTCTGGGAGTACTTGGGACCCTTGGGTGGGCAGATCTGACTTCCTGTTAATTTGATAATAACTTGTTTTAATTGGTTTTGGGTGGGCAGCATTTATTAAAAAGACAACCAACAAGAAGAGAGAAAGATCAAAGTTAGTAAATAAAATGAATTATGTCAGTAAATATAGGGAAACTGTACAGATCATTGGGGCATTGTGAAAAACCACACAAAATGAGAGAAACTATAGAATATTTTGCAGTCTTGGAGCAAGCAGGAGACTTCCTTTAGCTGGATCCAAGCATGCAAAAGGATGACTCTCTTACAGAACATGGGTTACATGGCTATGGCTTAGAAAAAATTAGTCCATGGGAAAAATTAGGTGTCTTGGTATTATTTATTCTGAGATTATTATTTCCAAGGAATCCTGTTCTTAATCTGTCTTGTGTTGTATGGGCCCCTTTGTTAATGAAATTTTTGTGTATTTGCAGAGCTCTAGATGTTCTGAAGTATGAGGAAGTTGACCTGGAGTTATTGGCAAAGGCTGTTCCAGGACCCTTGAAGAAGTATACTCAATGTAGAGAGCTAGCTGAAAGACTGAAAATAGAAGGTAGAAATACTTCTTTTACTTAAGATGCCTACATATATTATCTCTCTGCCATTTGTATAAACTATGAATGGACAGCAGAGCTCTGTTTTAAGAGGAGCCATTATTATCATAGGACCAGCATAGTGTTAGGCTCTGTGCTACTCAAAGTGGAGTTCCCAGGTTAGGAGCATTGCAAAAAATGGGCAACTGATCTAAATAGACACTTTTTGAAAGAAGACAGAAGGAAGGCCAAGAAACTCGTTAGGAATACAGAATTTCAGGCTCCACTGCAGACCCACTGAGTGAACATCTGCATTTTACAAGATCCCCATGTGATTACAGTGCACATTTCAACTTTAGGAACTACTACTGTAAATCTCTCCCTTAAAGAAAAAAGCAACAACTCTTTTTTTTTTTTTCTTGAACTTCCTTTTTACAGTTTCCTCATATAATATTTTAATAATGAGAAAAATATTACTATATTTGGCTTTGACAGTATACTAGAACATTTTACCAGTATCAGGTACTTATTTTATCAGGCAAAGAAATCCATACCCTTGGGTCCTACTCTGGGTCAGTGTATTGACCCTCAAAGTTACAGAAAACTTTTTAAAAGTTTTTCATTATGAAAAATTTCAAACATAAAAATACTGAGAATAAAATCAGTCAGCTTCTGTATTTTAATAGAGGAAGTATTTTCCTGGGGTGGAAAATTATCTGGGTCAAAAGGCAAGTAACGAAACAGAATGAAATGGGGAGAAGAGTAGGAAAAGTTGGATGATGATGCACTGTTCAAACAGGAAAGGATTTTAAAGCTCCTTGGCCCAGCGAATGTGGTAAGAATGCTACATTCTTGCTAGCAGTGGCATCTTCTATCAGTTCCAGAGAGGCCTGTCACCTTGCTATGCTTTGGCTGCTTTCATAGGATGACCCGAATGCTGCGTGCCATCCCTCCATGCAAGTTAACAAAAGCCTAGCAACAAAAGAAAACCCATTTAAACTCTAGAATCATTCTTTCAAATAATCAGACACTAGTAGTATACTAATATATAAGAAGTAATGTTGACCTTTTATTTTGATATCATGATTTCTGTATTAAGTAAAAATTACTTTATTGAATGTTTAGGCTCCTAGCATTGGAAAAAGGTGATTAAATTCTACATTTTTAACTTGATTTGCAACTTAATTTGTCCAATAAATCATCAGGTTCAGGTTAGAATAATCCAGAATAATTCAACTTGCTTGTAAATAAAGACTTTTAATTAATATCATTGGCCTAAAAGAAACCACACTAGGTTAAAATATAAGACATATAAGTGGTTTTCTAGTTACTTCACAGTTTCTCCACTAGAGGATCTTTAAGTTTCTTAAAGGCAGAAATCAGTTTCAGATTCTTTATATTATCTCTGATGTTTTTGCTATATATATTTGAAAGATTAAATATACTTTAACATATATGTTTTCTCATTTATATCCAATTATCCCTTGTCTATTCATGAGTCATAAAGTTGTATTACAGTTTGTTGTACTATATTGTTATTTTGCAATGTTGTAGTAAGCCCTTTATGTGCATTATTTCATTTGATACTTGTAGATGTCCTATGAAGAATAGGTATTAGTATTATTACCTTAATTTTACAGATAAATGGTAATTTGCCAAAGAACACACAACTGGTGAGTGGCAGAGCTGGGATTGAATCTAGCTTGTCTAAAGCCTGTGCATTTCACAACCACCCTTTGACCATCAGAAGTCATCTAAGTTAGCCCTTAAGTTTTCTAGATAAACAAAGGGAGGGCCAGAATGATTATGACATGCCGATAGTTAGAGGGTAATTCATTGGCAGAGCCAGGCTGAGATTTTCTGGCTACCAGACAAGTGATGGAAGCAGGTGCTAGCAAAACCTTCAGAGAAGACATATTTCTTGAAGAGGAGAGAGTTACCTCAGGATAGGTTTTAAAATACATTTTGAGTTTATGTTTCTAAGAACAAAATGCTTTAATTATAAAATAATGGCTGAATTATCTTTTTAACTTTGTGTCTGAGTAAAACCTCATTTAAATTATGTTATCATTTGAGAAGCTTTAAATAAAAAAAATACAGCCGAAACCGGTTTGGCTCAGTGGATAGAGCGTCAGCCTGTGGACTGAAAGGTCCTGGGTTCGACTCCGGTCAAGGGCATGTATCTTTGGTTGGGGGTGCATCCCCATGAGGGGGTGTGCAAGAGGCAGCTGATCGATGTCTCTCTCTCATTGATGTTTCTAACTCTCTCTCTCTCTTCCTCTCTGTAAAAAAATCAATAAAATATATTTTTAAAAAATAAAAATAAAAAAATACAGCTTTATATGTTCATTATTCAGAAATATTTTCTTGAAGAAACATCTGTTCTTTAGGACTTAAAATTCAAACCCTTTTGAGGGATGTTCCACCAAAATTTGCACTGAGAAGAAACACAATTTTTCTTAATTTTCCAAAGCTTTGAAATGAAAGGGCATTGAGTAAACTACCAGACAGAATGTTGTAGTAATATGTAAGATATTCCCTCTATTTTAGCTTTAATTTTCTCATCTGTGAAAGGGAACAGGTAACCCCACCTCTCTCATGGTGTTGAATGTGATAATGCAGCAAAAGCTCTTTATAAATTATAAAAGGTTATAAAAATGTAACTTGTTAATGTAATCTATCATGACATAATTTATTTTGTTCACCAGCCACTTATGAAACAGTATTGTTCCATCAGCAACAAGAAATAAAGGACATTCAGCGAGATGAAGCCCTCCAACTGCCAAAAGACCTAGATTATTTGACTCTCAGGGATGTGTCTTTGTCCCAGGAAGTTCGAGAGAAGCTACAATTCAGTCGCCCACAGACGGTAAGAAAACGGGCAATGGATAGAAATAGGTTAAAAATTAAGAGCCAGTGCTTTCTTTTTTCTTTTTCTTATAAATTTTTTATTTATTAATTTATTTTTATTTTTTACATTTATCTCCCTATTCCTCCCCACCCCCACTTGTGCGCAACAGTTTATATTGTTCATTATATTCTACAAATGAGTGAGATCATGTAATATTTATCTTTCTCTGCCTGGCTAATTTCGCTTAGCATAATGCTCTCCAATTCCATCCATGTTGTTGCAAATGGTAAGAACTTCTTCTTCTTCTTTACCGCATTGTAGTAGATGTACCACAGGTTTTTATCCACTCATCTGCTGATGTGCATTTAGGCTGTTTCTAGATCTTAGCTATGGTGAATTGTGTTGCTATGAACATAGGGGTTATCCTTTCTGATAGGTGTTTCTAATTTCTTGGGATATACTCCTAGAAGTGGGATCACTGGGTCAAATGGGAGTTCCATTTTTAATTTTTTGAGGAAACTTCATACTGTTCTCCACTGTGACTGAACGAGTCTGCATTCCCACCAGCAGTGCAGGAGGGTCCCCTTTTCCCCGCATCCTCGCCAGCTTGTCATTTGTTGATTTGTTGATGATAGCCATTCTGACAGGTGTGAGATGGTACCACATTGTTGTTTTAATTTGCATCTCTCTGATGATGTGACTTTAAGCAGGTTTTCATGTGTTTCTTGGCCGTCCTTCTGTCTTCTTTCAAAAAGTGTCTATTTAGATCAGTTGCCCATTTTTTGATTGGATTGTTTATGTTCTTTTTGTTAAGTTATATGAGTTCCCTGTAAATGTTGGAGATTAAACCCTTATCGTTGATATCATTGGCAAATATGTTCTCCCATGCAAGAGAATATATTGATGGCTCCCTTTGCTGTGCAGAAGTTTTTATTTTGATGTAGTCCCATTTGTTTATTTTCTCTTTAGCTTCCACGGTGCTTTCTTTTTTAAACCTGGACTTACCATCATCATATAACTAAGGTTTAGTTCATCATAAAAAAGTGACTTCTTATTTTCAGAATCTCTTTCTATGACAGATGTCAATATATTTTTGTGAAGAAAAATCTTAGTCTAAATAACTACAAGTCAAGAATTCGGTTGATTATAATTTGGTGTTTTCAAATCACTTCTCGGATCCCTTTCTAGGGGCTCAGTAGTGTGGCCTTGGGAGCAACTAGGAGAAAGGGGAGCCAGAGAGGTTTCCTGCCCCATGCTTTAGCCCAAGTGTGTGTGTGTGTGTAGGTGTGTGTGTGCGCATGCGTGTGCACCTGTATGTGCAGTTACATGCTTGTACACACACAGACATACATCTGTAAATGTCTATAAAAATCTTCGTTGTGTATAGTATTGAACTTCTAATAAATAGCTAAAGACTAATAGGTTGGTCCTGGCTGGTTTGGCTCAGTGGATAGAGCATCGGCCTGCGGAAGAAGGGTCCCAGGTTCAATTCCTGTCAAGGGCACGTTGCAGTCTCGATCCCCAGTGGGAGGCGTGCAGGAGGCAGCCTATCAATAATTCTCTCTCTCATCATGTTTCAATCTCTTTCTTTCCTTCTCCCTTCCTCTCTGAAATCAATAAAGATATATTAAAAAAAAAAAAAAAAAAAAAGACTGATAGGCTATATTTATTGATTCTAAGACATCCATTTTAACATCTCTGAAAAGCTAAGTTGTACCTTAAAAATTGGTGGTGTCTCATAATTTAATGACAGTGGGTTTTTTGTTGTTTTTAGTAGTGGTTCATAACAAAAAAGGAGCATTTAACAAAAAAAAATTTTTTTAAATATATTTTATTGATTTTTTTACAGACAGGAAGGAAGAGGGATAGAGAGTTAGAAACATCGATGAGAGAAACATCAATCAGCTGCCTCCTGCACACCTCCCACTGGGGATGTGCCGCAACCAAGGTACATGCCCTTGATGGAATCGAACCTGGACCTTTCAGTCCACAGGCTGATGCTCTATCCACTGAGCAAAACAGGCTAGGGAACAAAAATATTTAATGATTTTTAAAGGAAGGAGTGATTTCATAAATATGGCATGGTGTTCCTAGCAGTAGTCATGGAAACCATGGAAACAAGCCTTAAATTTTATATCTCTATATATACTGTTCGTTTGGGGGTTATATTTTTATGGATAGTCATAGGCTGTACTGCCCAGGATTATGGCTACTAGCCAAATAGACCATTTACATTAATTAAACTTTTTAAGAATTAAAATTCAACTCCTCATATTAGCCTCATTTCAGGTGCTCAGTGGTTACATATGGCTAGTGGCTACCATGTTGGACATACATTTTTTGTGCAAATGTTATAGAAAATTTCCATTATCACAGAAAATTCAGTTGAATAGTACTGGTCATCATGCTCACAATCCTTTACCCAAGTTCTAAAATACAAAAAGCTCTAATAAATGTTTGTTGTAGAGTCATTTGGTGGCAAAACTGACCTGAATTGGCCTGGGGTTAGTCTTTACATCACTTAAAGTTAATATTCATATATTTCATTATAAAAATACAACACAGAAATGTTGAGATTAATTATAGGGTGCTGCCCAACACACTGCTAGGGATGTTATATTAGTTTAATGAAAAGAAAAAATAAGTGTTCCAACATCTATTAGTTATGTGATCTTGGACAAGTCATTTTAATTTCACTAAGCCTCATTTTTCCCATTAAAAAAGGGGGGGGGGGCTCTAACCGGTTTGGCTCAGTGGATAGAGCGTTGGCCTGCATATTCAAGGAACCCAGGTTCGATTCCGGTCAAGGGCATGTACCTTGGTTGCAGGCACATACCCACTAGGGAGTGTGCAGGAGGCAGCTGATCAATATTTCTTGCTCATCAATGTTTCTAACTCTCTCTCTCCCTCTCTGTAAAAAAAAATCAATAAATATATATATTTTTTAAAAAGGGAGATAATAACTACCTATTTTATAGAGTTATTTTTGAAAACATTAAGATGATAGTTTTAAAAATATTTTATAAATTGTAATATATAAATTGTTACTGTCGAAAAAACCAAGATGGCGGCATAGGTGAGCAACTAATTTGCGGCCTCGCACAACAATTTCAAAACTACAACTAAAAGACAAAACGTCTATCACCCAAAACCACGGGAAAGCTGGCCAAAAGAGAAAGAAGCACAAGCGCTGAAAAGCTGAAAAGCCTAGGCACGCGAATCGGGCTGGTGGGGAGCAACTGGCCACACGGCTTTTTTTCAATCAGAAGGGAAACAAGCTCCCGTTCACTTTGAAATCTATTATCTGGGGTCATGCAGGGACCTAGACGCCTATGGGGAGAGGCTGGTTTGTTGGCCATTGGGTCCAAAAGTGAGGGTGACTTTTCTGCAGAGGGGTACACAGGAATGCAGCGACTTGGAAACGCTGAAAGGCAGAGACAGCTGACAGCAGCCATTGTTGTTTGCCATGCCCCAGCCTAGTGACGTCCTGAGATCCTGCCCCACACATTCTACAAACCCACCCAGGCTCCACACAGCTGCTTTTGAATAAGCAGCGAAAATACTGAGAAAAGGAAGGAGATCTCAAACAAAAGAAATGGAGCAGAACAAAAGACGATATAGAGTTCAAAACCACCGTTATAAGGTTTTTCAAGAATTTCCTAGAAAAGGCCGATAAATTTAATGAGACCCTCGAGAATATGAAAAAGAAATTAAACCAACTAGAAATTAAACATACACTGACTGAAATAAAAAAATATTATAGACACCCAGCAGCAGTCTAGAAGAACGCAAGAATCAAGTCAAAGATTTGGTTCACAAAGAAGAAAAGGACACTCTTACAGAGAAGCAAGAAAAGAGAATCCAGAAAGTTGAAGATAGTGTAAGAAGCTTCTGGGACAACTTCAAGCGTACCAACATCAGAATTATGGGAGTGCTAGAAGAAGAGAGAGCAAGACACTGAAAACCTATTTGAAGAAATAATGTCAGAAAACTTCCCCCACCTGGTGAAAGAAATAGACTTACAAGTCCAAGAAGCGCACAGAACCACAAACAAAAGGATTCCAAAGAGGCCCACACCAAGACACATCATAATTAAAATGCCAAGAGTAAAAGACAAACAGAGAATCTTACAAGCAGCAAGAGAAAACCAGTTATCTACAAGGGAGCACCCATATGACTATCAGCTGATTTCTCAACAGAAACTATGAAGGCCAGATGGGAGTGGCAAGAAATATTCAAAGTGATGAATAGCAAGAACTTACAACCAAGATTACCCAGCAAAGTTATCATTCAGAATTGAAGGGCAGATAAAAAGCTTCACAGATTAGAAAAAGCTAAAGGAATACATCACCACCAAATCAGTATTATATGAAATGCTAAAAGGTGTTCTTTAAGAAGAGGAAAAAGAAGAAAAAAGTAAAGATAAAAATTATGAACAACAAATACATATCTGTCAACAAGTGAATTAAAAGTCTGAGGAACAGAATAAACTGGTGAATATAATAGAATCAGGGCCATAGAATGGGAGGGGATTGGTAATTCTCAGGGGGAAAGGGGTGTTTGTGTGGGGGGTACGGGAAGAGGCTAGATAAAAATCATATACCTATGGATGAGGACAGCGGAGAGGGGGGAGGTAAGAGCAGAGGGTGGAGTGGGGACCAGGTGGAGAGGAGCTATGGGAGAAGCGGGGAGGAGAAACAATTATAATAATCTGAACAATAAAGATTTATTTTAAAAAATTGTTACTGTCACTGGAAGGAAAATTTTATTGACATAGCTCATTTTGTTTTTCTTGTGGTTTCAATTCATAGATTGGGGCTGCAAGTCGGATACCTGGAGTGACACCTGCTGCCCTCGTCAATCTGCTCAGATTTGTGAAGACCATTCAACAAAGACAGGCAGCTATGAATGAGTTGCCCAAAACTGGTCAATGTGTTACAGACAGACTTGAAGAGAGACAGTTATAGCTTTCTGTTCATCAAAGACTTATAATCAATGTAAGAGTATAGGTACTATACTTAACACCTATTAGAAAACCTTATTAATTATTATGGCTTTGTCAGATATTATCATTGTGCTTAAATAGTTACAAACTCCTAATTTATACTCTTTCTCTCAGATGTTTTAATGCAGTGAACCTATTAATATAACTTTGTGCAAAGCCCATTAAAGAGAGAGATAGTGGCCTGACTGGTGTGGCTCAGTTGGTTGGATGATGTCCCGTGTATTGAAAGGTTGATGATTCAGTTCCCAGTCTGAGCACACACCCAGGTTGCACAGCCATCGATGTTCCACTCTCTCTTCCTCTCCCTTCTTCTCTATCAATTTTTAAAAATCATCTTTAGCCGGTTTGGTTCAGTGGAAAGAGCGTCAGCCTGTGGACTGAAGGGTCCCGGGTAACAAAAAGAAATAATGGCCCAGCTGCCATGGCTCAGTGCTTGAGCCTTGATCTAGGAACCAGGAGATTGCAGTTCGATTCCCAGTCAGGGCACATGCCCGGGTTGTGGGCTCGATCCCCAGTGTGGGGCTTGCACGAGGCAGCTGATCCATGATTCTCTCACCACTGATGTTATCTCTCTCATCCTCTCCCTTCCTCTCTGAAATCAATAAAAATATATTTTAAAAAGAAAAAAAAAGAAGAAAAAAAAAAAAGAAGGGTCCCGGGTTCGATTCTGGTCAAGGGCACATGCCTGGATTGCAGGCTCAGTCCCCAGTATGAGGCACATACAAGATAGTCAATCAATGATACTCTCTCATCTCTGGTGTTTCTCTCTCTCTTCTTCTCTCTTCCTCTCTGAAATCAATAAAAATATATTTTTAAAAAACCTCTTCTTTGAGAGAAAGTGAACCTAAAACTAAAGCTGAAAAAAAAAAAATATCTTAGCTGAAACTGGTTTGGCTCAGTGGATAGAGCATCGGTCTACAGACTGAAAGGTCCCAGGTTCAATTCCGGTCAAAGGCATGTACATTGGTTGCAGGCACATGCCTGGTGTGAGGTGTGCAAGAGGCAGCTGGTTGATGTCTCTCTCTCTCATCAATGTTTCTAGCTCTCTCTCTCTTCTCCCTTCCTCTCTGTAAAAAAGCAATAAAATATATTTTTTAAAAAATCTTAGCTTGCAAATTTGCTTACTCAACTCATAAGGATTTTGTCCATTAAATGTATGAAATTAAAACTCTTATTTTTCAACTTGTTCTGAAAATTAGCAGTCTTCCATTTGGTAATACTAGATTAGGAGGCAATTTCAGAACTCACAAATTCCTAGGGCTAAAAATTTTAAACACAAAATTATCAAGAATCATTCAACTGATTTCCAATATTAGAATGTAGTTTTATAGAGGGTGAAAGTTGATTAATAAGATTTCTGTACTTCTACAGGAAATCCTCATCAGTAATTGTCTTGGAACATTAATGAATGTTGATTAATTCCTATAAAATAGAAAAATTTGTATTTTGTGGAAGAGCCACACTCAAGGGGCCAAAGAACTGCATGTGGCTTGAGAGCCATGGTTTGCCAAACCACTGGGTTAGGACATGACTGATTATTCTTTTATTTTTTTAAATATATTTTATTGAATTTTTTACAGAGAGGAAGGGGGAGGGACAGACAGTTAGAAACCTCCATGAGAACATCGGTCAGCTGCCTCCTGCACACCCTACTGGAAATGTGCCTACAACCAAGGTACATGCCCTTGACTGGAATAGAACCTGGGACCTTTCAGTCCACAGGCCAATGCTCTATCCACTGAGCCAAACAGGTTAGGGCATGACTGATTATTCTTGATATTTGATTTAGCAATTTCAAAAAATGGTAACTTTAGTTATCATGGCTATTCTGGGCAAAATTCTTACTGCAGAGGCAATGTTTACAACAATACTACATATTTTTTCAAGCTACTTTGTGGTAATTGTTTAACACTAGAAAGGAAACCACTGTTTTTAAACTTATTTTTTTTCTGATTAAATAGAAGAGTAAAAGCAGTGAATGGAGTGCTCATTGAATGGAATGGAATATAACAAATTTATTTTGAGGATATATAAAGTTCTTGAGAGAGAGATAAGAGGATATATAAAGTTCTTAAATGCTTTGAGAGTTTTTTGACAGCTTTAATTGGGCTAGTGACACTATACATATAAAGAAATTTAAGTTTTGTAATGCAATTCTGTTACAATAGTAACTCTCACTTTCGTGTTCTATGAAAAATATTTGTTATACATTCTTCCATTTAGTTTAGAATGTAAAACTTCTTCAAATCTACAATTTAAAATATATTAACTTGTACAAAATTACTTGACCTGAAATAATATTTTCAAAGTAGCCTTCCTCTGGTGCTGCTTGCCAGAAGTGCTATAGACTAGGATACCCTAGGAAGAAATAAGCTAACAATGTAACCTTACTCAGTCCAGCTGTTTAATAGAAACTTCCCAGTAATGACAATAGTCAGAAGTTGGTCACACCTGTGATTTCCTCTACCCACTGCAGGCCACACTGCCTAAAAGTTATAGGTACTAAAGTTCAACAGATACCAAAATCAAAAGAGGAAACAGCTAGGAGACAGTAAACATTTGTAAAATTATTGGGGGCAGAAGGGAGGAGGAAGATAGAAACCTATGCTAAATTAAACCATCATAGCCTTGGATTATAAAGTTACCTTATAGCCAAGAGTTTGGATTTTATTACTGATTGTTTTAATATTTTTTCCATTTTTGAGTTTCAACCTAGATTGGAATAGCATGGCTTTTCCACTTCAAAAAAAATACCAACTTTGAGAAAATGCCCTGTCCAAGGGAAGTGGTCAGAAATACGGAAAGTCCCCAAAAGTGACTAGAGGCTCATTCAGAGCGGACAGAACCGCTTCTGCTGGAAGGCACACAGAGAAGATAATTGTTTCTTTTAGGCTCCCTCTTCACAGCACTTCTAGTATTGCACTGACTTCATTCCGCCTTATTTTTAATATCTGTCTTACCTTAATCTCAACAAGATAAAAGCCTCTTGAATGCAGGTAATGCATATTGTAGACACCGGGACATGCTTTTAAAAAATATAATTTTTTAAATTGATTTTAGAGAGGAAGGGAGAGGGAGAGATAGAAACCTAATGATGAGAGAATCATTAATCGGCTGCTTCCTGGATGCCCCCTACTGGGGATGGAGTCCACAACCCAGGCGTGCCCTTGACTAGAATTGAACCTTGGACCTTTCAGTCTGCAGAATGACACTCTATTTACTGAGCCAAATCAATTAGGACAGGGACATTTTTTTTTTTTTTTAAGTGCAGATCAGTAATTATTTTTTTTATTTTATTTTATTTTTTTTAAATCACTCTTTATTGTTCATATTATTACAAAGGTTCCTCATTTCTTCCCCCCTCCACCAGGTTCCCACCCCACCCTCCGCCCCCTCCCCATCCCCCATTGTCTTCATCCATAGGTGCACAGTTTATGTTCAGTCTCTTCTTCCCTCCCTTTCCCCAATAGTAAATCCCTTTTCAGATAGTAAATCAGTTACTTAGCATTTTCTCATATCAATAATACCTCCACATGCCCAATGATGCACTTCACACAAAAGACATTTCCCAATAGGTCACTTCACACAAAAGACATTTCCCAATAGGTCCACCAGCCTCATCCAGGCCCCACCCAAGGCACTCACAGATCAACATCCCAGCCCTATACTAACTCAACACATCCAGATCTAAGCCTTCATCACTTGATTCAGCAGACCCTCAAGTTCCCACGAAAGTTTCCAGCCATGTCTGAGAGGCAGCTGTGGGGCAGGGGCAGGCGAAGAGCGAGCTGTTCTGGGCCTGGCTGCTCAGGGCCTGGTCTCTGTTGCTCTGATTCGTTCCACAACCAGCTGCTCCGGGTCTGGTCACTGCCGCTCCCGACCTAGTTGCTCTGGACTTGGCTGCTGCTGCTCCAGGCCTGGCCGCTCCCAGCCTGGCAGCCGCTGCTCTGGGCCTGGCCACACCCGACCCGGCTGCTCCGGGCCTGGCCGCTCCCAGCCTGGCAGCCGCTGCTCCGGGCCTGGCCGCACCCGACCCGCCTGCTCCCTCGGACCTGGCCGCTCCCAGCCTGACAGCCGCTGCTCCGGGCCTGGCCGCACCAGCCCCGCCTGCTCCCCCGGGCCTGGCCGCTTCCAGCCTGGCAGCCGCTGCTCCGGGCCTGGCCACACCCGACCCGGCTGCTCTGGGCCCGGCTGCCCCGGGCCCGGCCACTCCGGGTCTGGTTGTTCCTGGACTTGCCACCCTGGGTTTGGCCCCCTCCGCCCCAGGTCTGGCTGCTCCAGTGCTGGCTGTTGATGCTCTGGTTCTGGCTGCTGCTGCTCTGGGGCCTGGCCGTTGCTGCTCCAGGCCTGGCTGCCACTGCCTTGTGCCTGGCCACTCTAGGCCTGGCCGCCGCTGTTCCAACATTCTGTCCTTTTTTTTTTCTTTTTTTCTTTCTTTTTTTAAAACGCATTTATGTTGCAATGTTGGCTGTTGAGTTGAGTTCTGACTTAGTCTTTGATTTTTCAAGAACTTCTTTGTATTCTTTCTTAAGTAATTTTACTATCTTTTGCTCTCACTTGATTTCTTCACATTGAGAACTTCTTTGGTTTCTTCCTCCTTGTCCTAGGAGCTCAGCAGGTTGGCCTGTGGCCCCCCTTTGTTCTCCGTGGGCTCCTGCGCTGCTTCAGCCTGTTGCCGGGGACATTTTTAAAAAAAATATATTTTATTGATTTTATACAGAGAGGAAGGGAGAGAGATAGTTAGAAACATCGATGAGAAGAGTCATCGATCAGCTGCCTCTTGCACACCCCCTACTGGGGATATGCCCGCAACCAAGGTACATGCCCTTGACTGGAATCGAACCCGGGACCCTTCAGTCCCCAAGCCGACGCTCTGTCCATTGAGCCAAACCAGTCCGGCGGGACAGGGACATTTTTTGAATGAATGGATGAATGAATGAATATTACTGAAGGTAAGAGATG